ATTTAATAAAAATTCTTTGCAAGTCAGCTTCTAAAAGATATCTTAATCTTCTTCCTATGTTCCTTACTTAAACATAGACAAGCACAGCTGCCAAAAAGTTCAGAACACTCATCCAGCAAAGCTCGCTTTGCAACTAGGTCATATGGTTGGACAAAGATCAAAAAAATTAAGTAATCCTTGATGTCTGTTGGCTCAGGTAAATCAAATTTCTGTATAATGTATACATTGTAATAATGTATTGTTGTATTGTGTTTTGATTATCATATTCTCAAGTTCTGTATACCCAAATGTTTAACAAATGGTTTATCCCTGTACCCCCTCTTTCCACTTAGAGCCCTTGTCAGTCTTCCTCGGGTCTCCCCTCCTATTCAGCATACGTGCTGAATCATTCCCTCATCCCCTCCCTGGTGCCTTGTCCATCACCTGGCATTCCATCCCAAAACTCTGGAAGCTTCCACTAAGGGTGTCGAGTGATTGGGAAAGGACCAGGGGTCCCTCCTCTAACCCTCTCTGATATGTTGGTATCCCTGTCCTTTTCCTGAGAACCACCCCCAAAGTTTTCCTTATTGGTTGTTGGGCAATTCCCTCCCACTTCCCCTCCCCTGTTTATAAGATGTTGTCAAGGCCCTCTCAGGCTCTCATCTGTTGGTTTACCAAGGCGGTTGGTGCTCATACAAGTTTCCAATAAACTTTCTGATTACAAATTCCAGAGGAGAGTCAGCCTCCTTCCTTCGGTGATTGCTGTCCGCCTCTCCTTTGGAGGCTCTCCTGGAAACCTGAGGGAACACACAGGAGTGTGCTCCAGCACTGTCAAGCCTGTCTAGCCCGGTCACTCAGGTGGATCTTGAGTGGACACGACAGCAATATATTACACTGCTCTGCCTCTGACACCCCCAGCCCCATTTGGAATAATTCAACATGAGCTGAGTATGAGTTGACTGTAACTGGGAAGTCTTTCTCCTTTGTTCCCTGTGAGGATATAAGTACATAGCAATAAAGATGCAACAATCAATAAGGATAGTTTACTACCAGATTAAATTGAACCTACAGAATCTCAGTGTGCTTGTATGCAGCCCAGCTGTAGTGAGAAATCAATGGCTTTTTGCTGATTTTGGCCACCACACTCTTCATTAAAATGGAAAAAACTTGTGCAATGGGACTGATTCTCCAATGCAAGCTGATTGGTGGGTTGCAGCTTTGGCAGAAGTCTTGTCATTAACAAGGGTTATACCAGCACATACACTTGGGAAACTGATTAAATTATTAATTCATGTTAATTGTGAATTTTATGTAGTTTTGCAACATAGTCTTGTCATTAACAAGGGTTATACCAACACATACACTTGGGGAACAGATTAAATTATTAATTCATGTTAATTGTGAATTTTATGTAGTTTTGCAACATAGTTGTTGATTATGGAAGCTACCTGATACCTGTCTGAAGCTCAGCTTAGCTCTCAGCACACTGCCTGACTCACACTGTTCTTCAGACAGTGGATGACTGTTCCCTGGAATTACAGAATCACAAAGCCCACGGACAGTGTGTATGGGAGGTTTTATTTTGACTTTTTATATTGAAAACATAACAAATTCCGTAGTCTTTCTCCCACTGTCCTTCAGATCTATGACCACAATCTTTACAGGTATGTGTGAGCCAAAGAGAGGGATGTGTGTACAATCGTCTGCTCAGCATTGTACAGTTAAAATGACGGGGACATGAGAATTATTACTTAGATTCTAAGAATTTTTGGTGCAATTGCCACAGATGCCAAGCTGGGGCTGTGCTAGACTTTGTGAAGTGAATAATGTGTCCTAGATTCTGCACGCGTGTCTTTCTCTGCAGCCAGCTGAATCTCATTTTATATGCCTGAATGCAAAAACATATAAAATGAAAATTAAAAAAAAGGAAAATATAAATTATAAAACTAAATCTAAACAGCATTTTTTTGATGTTGTATTTTATCAGGATTTCCATAGTACAAACCATAGGACCAAACCAGTGTGACATCTATGGATCAGGGAACTCTTCCTGGTAGGGAAAAAACCTGACTCTCAAAAAACAAAAGCAGGGATATTGTAGAGACAGGGTAGTTGGCTAGCATCTGGTTTTGGTGTTTTGGTAGCTTACAGTTCTTCAACATAAGAAAGTGATTCAGGTTTTTTGTTTGGTTTTGTTTTGCTTTGCTTGTTTTCTTCGTGGTTTTTGGTTGCGTTTATTTACTTGATTGTTTAGAGGTTTTTGTTGGGTTTTTTAGGGGTATTTTGTTTGGTTTTTTTTAGGGGGTGTGAGGGTACCATTGGTTTTATTGCTGTTGGTTTTCTAACAGAGTATTTTTTCTACCATTAGGCTGTCCTGGGACAATGTTTTATCAAAGAGCCTCAAAAAAGCAAATGACATATCCATTATGATAACCAAATGTGGGAGCAAGTTTCAAGGAAAATTTGAAAAAATGTTTCAAGTTTTATCTGTCAAACTTAAAATTTCAGTAAGAGTAATAGAACAGAGAGCTCATTTTAAATACAGTTGGACAAATAGCCATAACATTGCCAGAAGGGTGTCTATGTAGTGTTTTGCAGTGCTGATCTCCACTTCCCTTGAAGTAATACATAAAGAACAGATGGGTAAGAAAGAGAAAATACACTTCCAAAATGTGGTCAATACCATAACAAAGAGACAATCTAAATTATAGTTAGTGTTTTTATACTTCTACTTGGAAGAAGTGCAAAACAAGAATGTTTTTCTGTTCTGGCTTATTTGCATATTTATTTTGATCCAGAAAAGGAATGTTAGTGTAGTCTATTTTCCCACTTCCCAGAGAAGGAGACCCAGCTAAGGGAAGAACAGAACCTTCTACTCCAAATGTAACTACTTAAAAGGTGTCAGAAGAAAACATATGTGGGACAAACTGCCAATATTTTTTTTTCTTCCCCAGGAAAAATTAGGCTGCTGTATTTGATTAATACTAAGTTGATTACACATTATGTGTACTAATGAGTATCTTCTTTAAACTCTCAATGTCTCTCGTTCCTCTTTTTGATTGTATTAAATGGTATTGTTGCAGTGCTTGCAAGGTCTTTCTACTTGCCAAGAGATTTGTATTTATTTGGCATTTTGTCACTGTCCATATACACATAATTAATAGCCCTGCAGCAGAGAAAGGTGTAACACCTCCCTAAATGATTTCTTTAAGGTCATGATTGTACAATTTACCTTTCCAATAATAACTTTGAAACAAGAAGATGTCACTTCCAACTGTGTAGCAGCTTCTTTAAAGCTCATCAACTGGACAGTGAAATTGTCCTTTAGACAATAAATGCATGTTCAGAACAAAAGGAAAACTCTGTCTGAGATTCCAGCTCCAAGGCATGCAGTTTCCAGCTAAAATATTTCATTTTTTGCTAATGGACAGGGTTTCCTTTCTTGGTCAGGAAAATGAACATTTATGAATTTACAAAAGGGAGAAAGGAACATTTATGAATTTACTGGAGGGGAATCTTCCCTAATGGCACAGTGTGGGGTTTTTCTGTCTGCAGGAAAAATTATGAAGGACTCCTTAATTTGTCATTCACATATATTTGACAGTGATACTTAATGAGGTTGGTAGGAAATGCCACCCTTTTCTGAAAGCAGTGTGAAGGAATATTTTGGTTATCTTATTTACCGCATAGCCTTGAAATAACAAGTTAAACAATTAAGTAGAAAGATTATCTTGCTTTAGATATAATTTCAATGCTTTTTCTTTGCTAAAATAAAGTGTCCCGCCTAAATATTTCACACAATTCCAGTACACATGAACTGATTTTTTTTTTTTTTTTTTTACCTTATGGATATATCACTGGCATCAAAACCTTGTCAGAATCCTTTTTCTTTATTGTTTGTCCTGTAGCTGAGAATCAGGATCAATACACTATCTCTGTGAAACTGATTCTACAGTACTGCTCTTTACTGCTGCTGCTGTAAAGATCAGCTTGCAGTCTTTTCAAGGCTTAACTATACTGCTCATAAGTTGGGTGTTTCCATCATACAGTGATCCACATACCAGTGTATATGGATTAAACTATTCCACTTGTTTCCTTTTATATAATGTGGAGTCCTGAATTATCTTTATTTTCACATTTGTATGGCATCCAGTGCTTGAATGGAAAACTCATTAGTAAAGAGAAAAAAAAAAAAAAAAAAAAAAAAAAAGGCCAACCAACTAACCAAATGAACAACCAAACCCAAACACAAGGAAATCACCAGATCATGTTTAAATGCTCAATTATTTAACCAGAAGCAACAATTTAGATTAAGAAGCTCTTTATTGTGGGTGAAACTTCACTCATTTTTGCATATCTAAGCATAGTTGCAAAGTGTAATGATGAAGAATTTGGAATAGGCCACTACAGTTTTAGAAACATGCCCGACACGGCCCGACACCGCACTTCAGCCGTGCGCCCATGCGGGGCGGCTAGAAAGGGTGGTTTTAGGGCCGGGTCCAGAGGAGGGGGCAACCGGAGCGGAGGAAGTGCGGAGGCGGTGGGCGGCAGCCGGCGCTGGGAGAGCTGTCCGTGGTGCTGCCGGCGCCGTCCGCCCCGAGCGCTCCGCCCCGACCCGCCCGGCCCCGCCGGGAGGCGGGCACTGAAACCCTGCCCTGGCGCAAAGCTCGCTGTTGCCAGAGGCCTTTGCTTGGCTTGTAACTTTTTTAAGAGAGAAAAAAAAAAAAAAAAAAAAAAGGGGAAAAGAAAATAAAGAGGCGGTTTAGGCGGTGGGGTGGAGACATCGCAGCCGCGATTCGCGTCTCAGTGAAGGCTGTGGGTACCGCTGAGCCCGCTGTCTCTTACTAAGTGACCCTGCCAACTAAACAAGCAGAGAAGGGAGCTCGCAGCTCATCCGAGGAAAGGCAAGGAAGGGCGGCAACCTCCGCCTCCTGCGCCTCGGGTGCCCATGGGTGTCCCGAGAGGGCGAGGAGGCAGCACCGGTGGGACGGGGCCCTGGTGACATTAGGCCCGCGGTATCGGGGCCACTCTCCTTATGTACCGCTCTCGTTAAAGTTTTTTGCTACTTTTGCTCCTCCCCTTCCTCTGCCCCTGCTCCCCTCGTGGCGGTCAGGGACTGGTTTACCCGCTGCTGCCCTCAAGAGAGAGACACGGAGAATAAAATAATAGGCGAACATAAAAGATGGAGAGAGAGTCCGCCCGGGAGCCCGGCCCTCTCAGTCGTCGAAGGGCTGCGCAGGTCGCTCCGCCCCGTCAGGGTGAGGCCAGCGGTGACACCGAGAGGAGCCGGGCGGCACCAGCCAGGTGGAGAAAACCAGAGCCGGCAGCCTCCGCCGCTCCTCGCAGGTGGAGGCGGCCTCGGCGAAGCACCGCGCGGGAACCTCTGGGCCGGGGCCGCCGCCGGGGGCTGGGCCTGGCGTTCCCATGGGCAAGGCGCTCCCCGCGGGCCGGGATCGCCGCCAGCCTCGGGCAGCGCGGGCGGCCGAGTGGCGGCTGCGGCGCCGTGCGGGGCGCGGCGGAGCGGGACGCGGCGCGGCGGGCGGGAGGCGCGCTGGCGATGAGCTGGCCGGTGCCGCCGCCCGCGGGGTCCTGCAGCGCCTCAGGGAGCTGCTGGACGGAGCGACCGACTCCAACGCCGCCAACTCCTACGGCAGGACCCCCATCCAGGTAGGGAGACGAACTGTTGGCAGCTCGCGAGGGCAGCGGCCCGCCGTGCCCTGCCCGAGGCGGGCGGCGGCAGCAGTGGACCCTCCGGTACCCCGGAAGCGGCCGCCCCCCGTCACTGTGCTCGGCTGCTCTCGAAGCGGCGTGGCACAGGGGTTCTTCTCGCCTCCCTGGGAAGGAGAAAGTCTTCTCCGGTGACGGCCGCAACAGGGGGATTTTAGTCTTAGCAACCCTTTACTTTATTTGGACCAACTGAGATAGGATGACTCAAATCGGAGAACTTAAGCTCATCTCGCAATAAACGTGCGATAAAATGTATTAAGTCACGTTTGCAGAAATAATCTCCCTTACGTTATGCCTCGTCTTCTGCTTTATATATCTGTATTTTTTGTCTCCTCTCCCGTGAAAAAGAAAAGGATAGTCGGTGGCTCTCACGAACAAAAATACCCGGTCGCGATAGCCTTGCCTAGATGACACTACAGGTAGACAATGAGCAATCCCTGTGGGGCTCAGTCTGCCCTCATTTTACACTCGCCTGAACGTGTGGGTAGAGGTAGCACCCGGAGGTGTAGAAGAGGTTACCTTTATAAAGGCTGAGTTAGTTTTCGAGGTAATTCTAGCCAGCTTTTTTCTTAAAATTTCAAAATAAAACGAAACTGGAATAATCTGAGAAGCTATATTTAAATTTTGCTGCCAGTGCTTGCGAAACACTCTCTGACTCAAAATGTCAGTGGAGCATTTCACTCGAAATAGGTATTTGTAGCCGTCCTGCAGTGCTTTAGCTTTTGTTTGTTTGTTTGTTTGTTTTCCCAATCTTTGCGGCAGGGACTCATTCCCTTTGCTGAACGAACTGCTGGGTGCGCTAGGGGAAGCGCAGCTAAGAAAACGGCGAGGCCGAACATGTTGGTACTGCCCTGGACACGCGGGTGAGGCAAAAGGTTCATTCCCTCCTGACCGTGAGGGAAGCGCGGGTGCGGTGCCCCAGACACGGTGGGTTCCCTGCATTACGCGTCTCCCCGTGCCAAGGACCCTCTGGAGAAGTGTCACGGATGCGAGCGGAACGACGGCGACCCCCGCAAGCCTCTGCGGCGGCACGGTTCCGCGGGGTCTGGTGCAAAGCGACTTGGGACTTGCCCTGGGTTTTATGGGAGCGCGTCGGGAGAAGGGCGAACGGCGAACCCCTTCCCCCGGCTCGCCTGCTCCGAGCCCACCGACTTCCCAGTCCCGTCGCGGAGCAGCCCCAGTGTGCAGCCACACCCCCCGACCCCGACAGGCACCTCTCTTCCCCACCTGTTCTCTCCTGTCCTCTAGCGTGGGTAAAGGAGAGTTTACCAATGCGACATAACTGCCCCAACGGGTACATGTTCTCCACTGTTCGTTGCACGTCCAGAGCCGATCTCTATGCCTCACCAGGGGATTTTCTTCTCCTTTCCATTGTGGATCTCCGTTCCCTCCGGGCCGAGCGAGAAAGCCGGAGCTCTGCGGTGGGCGCTGACGCTGTCTCTCCCCGCAGGTGATGATGCTGGGCAGCCCGCGGGTGGCCGAGCTGCTGCTGCGGCACGGAGCCGACCCCAACCGCCCCGACCCGCGCACCGGCTGCCTCCCGGCGCACGACGCGGCCCGCTCCGGCTTTCTGGAGACGCTGGCGGCGCTGCACCGGGCCGGGGCGCGCCTCGACCTCCCCGACGGCCGCGGCCGCCTGCCCCTCGACGTGGCGGCGGGGGGCCCGCACGGAGCGGTGAGGCGGTACCTGCGCGCTGATCCGCCCTGTGCCTAACCTCACCCCGGGACACCCCCTCCCCAGACTTATTGCCTGCTCCCGACTCGGAAGACACCAAGTGGAACAGTACTCATACGATGTTGTGAATAACACCGGATGGCGTTTCCCTGCTGGATGCACGAAGGACAGTATTCTTTGCTCATGACCGAATATTATCCTATAGCCCTCTGCAGGCGCCCTTCTTCAAAAAAAGAGTCGAAACACTGAAGAGAATATGAAATATGAAGTAGGAATTATGAAATATGAAGAAAATACTAAATGTGAAAATATTAAATAGCAAATATTGGATATTAAATATAAAGAAAAATCCCCGCAAAGATGTGGTACTATAAACCCTGTTTTGATGGGGCTGCGTCTGGACCTTCTGCTCCCTGGTGACTCCTCATCACACTTGCTAGCCCTCCATCTGAAGAAGATGGGAGAGGCTTCAGCGTCTCACTCTCCCGACGTCTCCCTGTTTGATTTTGCTTAAAGTGATCTAAAGGGGTGCTGAAGCCAATCTGCCTTTCTCTGGCAAAACCGGCTGGACAGATTAGTGCGGGATCAGTGCTTCCTGGTGTGATTGCAGCTTTCGTAAATACCTTATTAAAACCACGTAGCATGCTGTGCATGTCTGTACAGGTATTCCCATTACATCCATAGCTTTCCTTGTGTAGGCTGCAACTATAAGACCTGAAAGGATAAAACAAAGACAAATTTATATCTCTGCAAGCCTGATATGATCCTCAGTTGAAGTACTCGTTGTTTTAACAATTTGCAAGTGACCTTTTCTGAGTTATAGTACTTCTAAAAAATCATATGATCATGAAACCAAGGCAACCATAAACGAAAAATTACAAATTATACATCTGAGCTCCAGTGCTTCCCAAGATGCTTGGAAGTGACACATTTGGTGAAGAAACAAGAAAACCTTTGAAACAGCTCTGCTGCTGGTGGGGGAACGAGGAAGGGGGTATCTATTCATTATATGACAGCCGATATATGTTTCACTGGCTGCTTCGGCGCAGAGGAGTTGGATGTGAGCAACCCCAGGAAAAAGATACAGTGGCAGCAGGCTCTTCCAAGGTGAAAGGAGGTGGCGGGGAGACCCGGCCTCACTGCAGCAAGTCCCCAAGCCCCCAGAGAGGTGTGCTTGAGGGAGTGCACAGACAGCAGCGAGCCGGGCGCTGCGGCAGGGACGGTGCTCCCAGCCGGTGCGAGAAAAGTGGAAGACCCTGCCCCGCTTGCTGGAACCCAGCTGGGGTTGTGCTCACACGTCCTGCACCTTAGAAGCTGAGAAAGGGAAGCTAGGCAAAGCAGTGACAAGAGTTCAGGTCTCGTACCCCAGCACTAATCCTGGGCACTTTTCAGAGCTACCTGTAGAAAAGGTGAAAAATATTTATCTTGGTTTTGCATTTCTACTGAGTAGCCAATCCCTAGGTATCTCATATAAAAACATGAAAAATCATGTATATGCCTTTTTTGTAATGTGTTGGAATTTGTTATTTATTATAATGTAATTTCATACAATGCCCGTTTTATAATTATTTCACGTCTGTTGTCATGCTATAAAATATTTAGTTATGTTATTAATGTATATAATGCATCTATGTAATATCTATATAAAATATATATTATACACATATAGAAAATACATATATAAAATGTTATGATCATGCATCAATGTTATATATTCGATTAATAATTATTTTTATATGTAATATGCTTAGTTGCTTAATTATCTTCTTGGTTTAATTGTAACGAAATTATATGAATATAAAACACATACAAAGCATTTATGTTATCTATATTCACACTTTTTCACTACAAGAATACCTAAAACATATATTTTATACATATCTATAAATAGAAAACATTTCACATTATAAAAACATATAATATGTGATTATAACACCTTATTAATTTGCACTGCACTCTGCCCTAGAACATGGCATAGCTGAACCAAGGACACCACTGGGGATGTAGCAGTTAAGTGCCAGCATCCCGTGCCTGTCGGAACCAGAATGGAGCTGCGTCCAGATGTGGAGATGCGGGAAAGCTAGAGCCTGACCACACTCCCTGCAGAACAGTAAGGTTCTATTAAACTGTACTTCCATCCTCAATTGGACCAGTATTCCTGTTTTAAATAATCGTTTTTCCAATAACCAGATTTTATTTCAACTTTGTAGCCTTTCCATTAAGGCTTATGAAACTATAGCAACAAAAATAGTAATATTACATTACTACTTTTATTGTCTATAAAGTTGGCAGGGAAACAACATAAAATTGCTAGGCTGACCGCACCAAATAAACAGAGCATGCCCTCAAAACCCAGCAAGGTTAAATACCTAATTGTTATAAATCTGCCTGATGGAGTAGGTCTGGAGTCCCTTCCCAGGATAGGCCCGTGGTGGGAACTACTCACTCCGTGGAAGGATGAGGATCACCGGTGAGATCCCACTTGACTGTGAAAGCTTCCACAGGCACCTTTTCTTCTGACAGCAGCAGCAGCTCCAGGGCTTGGAGTCCTCCTTGAAAAGAAGAATACTAACAGTTAAAACAAACAGCAGCGGCAATACACTTTACCAAGAAAGTCCTAAAAGCATTATGTTTAAGGCAGCAGGTTACTCGCAATTTTTATTTTTAATATTGCCACTGTAACCGAGCACACGCGCGAGCACACATATGCCGTTCTGCAGCAGGATGTGCACCCTGTGCACGACGAGCCCCGGATCGGCCATGCATTTAGCGTTGGTGGGTATTCGGTTTCTATTGCCAAAGCTTTCGGTCCATCCTCTCACCACTGCTCCGGCACCTGCATCCCACAGCTAGGTAGACATTCATTTCTCTGAATTTTCCTTGCCGGTCGGGAAGCAGTAGTCATGGCAGGGGAGTAGAGGAGGAAAAAACAACGCGGGGAGGGGGAAAAAAAGCTTCTCTCGAAAAGTGCTTTCATTTCGAAATGGCCGATTTTGCTCATCCAGTTTCCCAGGCTTGAAATCGGACTTGAAAAGAAACCATTACAGACTTTTCCTTATCAGCATTGTTGTTAGGTTTACTCCGTGCTTTCTGTTGACATTTCGTCCATCCGAGAGAAGGAGGTTTTTATTGTGGGGGGTGTTGCACATGTTGAATATGGTGTTCACCATCCTTCCCAGGGACTGCCACTCCCCAGCCCAGCGCTTTTCCCGCTGCTTCCTGCGGTCCCCGCAGTGAGCTGCCCCGATCCCTCTCCCAGCCGCCTCTAGCCGTGACCATCCGAGCCGGGCCCCGCCACGCCCCGGGAGGGGGAAGACGCGCCAGCAGAAATGACGCTCTCCCGGTCCATTGCTCTTCTCACGCCTCGCACGGAGGTACCCCGCACCCGGGAGGGGGGCAGCGCAAGCAGAAGAATTCTGGGGGTGGGGAATGGGGCAGGGAGGCAGCAATAACCCTCTCCACCGCCCAGGGATGCTCTGCTCGGCGTCAGAGCTGGCTCAGCACCGGCTGTCGCGGGTCTCGGCTGCTCACCGGCACTTCCTGGAGCCGGATGGGCAAGGGAGTGCCAGCAGGTGGGCAGAGGCTTCTGACCGACCCTCCACTGCTCCCCCGTCCCGCTCCAGAACCTCGTTCTTCAAAAGGAAAGCGAAGAGGTCCGACACCGCGGAGCAGGACCGGGGAGAAGGCCCGGGGGCTGGGCGGGGAACCGTTCATTACCCGTTTCGGTGACCGGCGCGGGGAAATAGAGATCCTCTTTCCTTTTCTCTCCCTACTCTTGGCGCCCCCCCCTCCCCCGCTTCGCTACGCAACGCTCCCGCGTCGCGTTCAAATGGCCATGTGACAAGGAAATAGCTACTCGCCCGGGCCAGCACTGGCCCGCGCTTTCAGAGGGGCAGCGATCCGCTAGCCGGCTCTCACGAGAGCCAGCGCGGCGCTCCAGGCCGCCTCAGGCCCCCTTCCCGTCGGGGTTTTCCCGGGAGGAGTGCGGTCTGGGAGCAACTGAACAGCAAGAAAAAACCCCAAACCAAGCGGGAGGCGGTGTGTTTGGAGGGGCAGAGCCGGGGGAGGGCAAGGAGATGTCGTCAAGGCTTTATTTGAAAGCCTCGGAGCGCCCTGCGATTGGCCAGTCCCCACGTCTATCTGGTGGTGGTGCTCTTCCCCGGCGATCTTCCCCCTCCCCATCCCCCGCTGCCAACCTTTCTTCGCCCGCTTTTCGAAGCGGGAGCCATCATCGTGGGAGGAGTTTAGAGCGGGGCGTAGGGGAGGGGTGGGGGAGCGGAGGGGGTGTGAAGTGAAATGGGGAGTCGAAATCAGCTAAACGGAAAAGAAAAAAAAAAAAGAAAAAAAAAAAACGAGAAAGAAAATTCTCTCCAATGAATGGAGGGTGAGAGGGCCGATTCACCGGTGGGGCCCGGCTGGGGAGGCATTTGTAGCGTGACGCGCCCGCGGCTTCCCCGCAGCAATGACCCCTCGGATAAGGTGCACCATCCACTTTAGGCGCGCCCGTAGCCTTCCCCGGGCCTGGGCGCTGGGCTGGCGCATCCTCCGCCGCCTTTTCGGGGCGCTGGGGCGGCGCTGGCCGCGGCGCCTTGCCCTGCAGCTGGTTCTGCGGCGAAGGCGCCGCGGGAGCCCCCGGCCCAGGTAGGACACCGGAGCGGGGCCGCTCGGGGGCGGCGCGGGCGGCCCGACGGGGCGGAGGGAGCGGGGACGGCGGCCCAGCGCTGGTGGCAGCGCCGCGGGGACCCCTCCGCGCCGCATGCTCAGATGGCACCGGGAAACATTAGATTTCTACAGGGTGGGTATTTCTGTGCGGGTATTTTTTTAAATTTTTTTTTTAACGCATAGGAAATGTCCGATGCTTGAAAAGTTACTGTAACTTATTTCTGCCTTGCCTCCCACCTTTTGAGAAGTTTTCTATATCGTTTATTTGGAAAATATAAACCCACTACCCCTTCCCATCCTTTTCAGACAGTTTCTTGCAAACAAGGAAGATAGCTATTGCTCTGAAGAGAGAAAATGGCCACTGCTTCCCGGCCGTGTATTACTTTCCACTCATGCAAACGACAGTGAAATACAGTGGCCTACTTTTCCTTCCCTTACTGTTAAAAAATATGGGAAATAAGGGTCAGAGCAGCCAAGCAGCATCAGAAAGTGTAATTAAAATACACTTGTATTAAAGACCTTGAGAGACATCCGAGGCTCGGGCAGTTTTAGAGACTTTTTCCTTACTGCAGAGTGCAAAACCGGATTGTTGTGGCATTGCTTGTCACACATAAAAACACCAATAATAATTAGACATACAGTAAAGCTAAAGTGAATATTAATTTTGCTGCGAATGTGAAGATTGTTCTGCACAATCCTTATAGAAGGTTATTAGAGCATTACACAACCTCCTCTAATACAGAGCACAGTCTAGAAAGAACAGAGGTGGAAGAGAAGTAGAAATATTTGCTTCAAAATTACCTCAAAAACAGAGACCATTTATTTTATACATATATAAATAGATGTATGAAATTTTTGATCTTTCAAGCCATAGGAGTCAGGGTGTGGAGATAAAGTAATTCAGAGTTTCCCAGTTTCACTCTCTGTTTCTATTGCTTCCAATCCTATTTGAATAAAAAGTGTGGGGCCATACACACAGACACACGCAGATATAAAAACTTTCTGCACATATTTATAAATATATAAATCAGAAACTATAGGCAGTTTTCCTTGTTGCCTTCAAATTGCCTCATTTTTTGCATTTGTAGTGGGCCTCATTTCTTCATTATACACTAAATGGGAGGAAAAGAAACTGTAAACTCTGTCCAACCTGAAATGCATGAATCTCAAAAGCAAACATAAGTATGAGGCTGCTAATCACCTTGAAATAAACTCTGTGTAGCAAGGACAAAAATCCCTCATGGATCCGAAGTGTGGCTATTATTTTCTCACTCTATTTCCACGCTTGCTGTAAATACTGCTACTTTTTTATTTCCTTTCCCTGAGCTTTTAATCAGGGAGAATAAGTTTTTCTAAAATGCCAGTTAGCTCGAGACTGCAAATTGCATTTTGAAGGTCCTGGGATGGAGTGAGACACATGTGTGTGTTAAATTTAATTTTAAAAAAAGTTAAACCACGAAACAAAACAAAAAAACCCTATGAAAAATACAGTATCTGGGGATAGTTTTTAACTGTCTAGGGTAACACAAAATGGAGTTGTGGCTGCCTCATCTCTAGAAGTGTCTGAGACCAGGCAGATGAGGCAGGGCGGTGAGGTGGGATTGGAAGTATTATCTCTGAAGTCCTTTCCAACCCAAAACAATCTGATTGTAAGATATACTCTATGAAGTATTTGTTCATTATTACTGCAGTTTCTCTGAGCTATGTTTGAATTTTTGTGTGTGGTTTGGTTTTGGATTATCCTTTGTTCAGGATAATTTTTCGATTTTTTTTTTTAAAGTTCAATAGAAACCCCCATGGCACAACTTCTGAATGACTAGAATTAAGGTGATGAATTTTCCTGGTTTTAACCAATATGTGTAATGAAAATAAATATCTTTACAAATATTCTGACATTTTAAACTGAAGAGAAGAATGATAATGTTAAATTATTTCTGTAAGTGGGTATTGCATAATTTTTAGTGCAACTCGGAACAGCTGTTTCCCCCACTCCCCTTAGAGAGGAGGTTCCAGGCTACTTCCATGAAATCTCTCATTGCACCTCCTATCCCTGCCTCTCTTGTGCACATTTACCTAGCTTTTCACAAGGGAGGAAATTCCAATATTATGTTCTTTATAATTTGTCTCTTTGTAGTATTGAATTAATCCCGGAGCCTATTATCAAAATACTTGTTAGATAAAACGTAAATATTTTGATTTTTTTGTTGTTGCTGTTGAAAGGGTAATACTTGCTGAGCCTTAAAGAGGGCATAAGATGGCTGCTTTTTTTAACTGAAAGTTACCTCTTCCGTCCTTTATGCTCTTATCAAAACATCTCAGAACAATTTGCAGGATTATTGTAGTGTAGTATTAAAATGGATCTGTTTTCAGTGTCAAAGATCTGTATGGTTGAATAATGATTCTAAAATTAAGTAAGAGCAGAAATGTAGGATAGGGACACTGCTTAACATGATTTTCTTTTTCACTCCCTCTCTTAACTATTTACTTTTTTTACTCCTAATTTTTTTTTTTTTTTTTTTTTTTTTTTTTTTTACTGCAAAGATATTTTAATGAAAATATCTTTGCAGTAAGGTTTGCTGGGGGTAAAAGGTGGATTCCCCTCCCTTCCCCAAGATACAAGTGCAATACAAGGTTCTTTCTCAAAATACACTAGCATAGGCTGTGTTATTATTACCCTTACTTCAGATATGACTCTGTATTGTTATGTTTTGATTAATTTGAGGTCCTTTCCTGGTACTAGAATTGTATCACATAAGATTTGCTTTTAGAGAGGGAAGAAATCACATTATTTCAATTGCATTACTTAAAATGCTGTGACTTAAAAATGTTCTAGTAATTTGATACTTTTCTAGTAGTTTGATACTTGATTTGGAGTGTCAGTAATGTTGGGACATAATTACGGGACTGCATTTGTTGTTTTACACTATTATCTTTTGACATAATTTAGTGGAGATGGAGATATAGACAGGCCCTCTGATTCGAAGTAACATCTTCATTTATAAATACATTGACATGTGAGTGCGTTTTTCTTTTTAATTTTTTTTCCTTCAGAGAATTACCTAGGTTGGAAAAGTTCTTTAATGTTATTGATTACAACCTATTTTTATGCTTATATACACATAAAAAGATAGGTATTCCTATATTAATACATACAGATGCATAAAATCATAGTATTTCACAGAAAGAAACAGGCAGTGATAACTTGCAACACTGCCACTTCACTACTGATTTGAAATTTTAAGACATGTGGCAGACATAACCAATGAGGTTTTCTCCTTGGATTTATCTCTACGTGGCTATCATTAATGTCAGAGAGCACAAGAAGAACTGGAAGATACTTTGCCTTTAGGGTGGGGGATCATCTTACTTTTTTAGACTTTATAGACTTCTAAAAATTCACTCTTTTAAACACTACTTACTAATTTTTAAATTTTATTTATTTGTTTGTTTTAAACTGCCTATCTGTCCCGAGGGCTGCTTTGCACCATGCATTGTAGAAAAAACACGATGTGGTGGGAGTTCACTACTAGTCCCTGGCAAGAGAGGGTCTTGTCTCAAATTTTGGACCCTGATCTTGCACTGACACTTGCCCCAGAAATTTTGCAAGGGAGGTTCCAAAAGCCACTAAACGAAGACATTTTAGTGAACCTCTGACTTGTATATTCAGGGATAAATCTGTGTTTATTTCTCCATCTGAGGATGCCTCTGCTTTCGGCTAATAGTAAATGTAGACATGAAATCACCGTGTTTCTCTTTTAGCTATGCAGAGCTCTTTGGGGGTTGTATCTGCACAATGGATATTCCTTCTGCGGCGTCGCACCGATCTCCTGAAAATAAAGAAAAAAAATGAGATTAGGGAACTGACGTTGTGGGGGGGAGGGGGAAAAAAAAAAGACAAAAAAAAAAGAGGAAAACATCACCCTAAAAAAAACACCTTTATTTCCCCTGCTTCTTACAAAGGTCATCCCGGAACTTGGAGTTGGCAGAATAGAGACTTCACGGCGCGGGGCGTGGGTGCGACCACCCGCTCCCACTCGACGGCGCGGGGGGATCGCTTGTGGCGGGGTGGGGGGGAGGGGGTGACAGGCGTGCCTCAGTCGGGGCCTGCAGCGGGGAGACGCTTGGCGCAAAGCCAGGGGGAGGAGCAAGATGCTTGGATTTTGAGGATCTTTCATGGGATTTTGAGGATATTTCATGGCTGCAGGGCGAGATTTTTCTGCCTAGGCTCTGGCTGCGCGGCTGGAGCTGCACCTTTACCCTGCCAGGCTCTCGCCGCGGCTTTCCTGTTCCCGGGAGGCTCTGGCAGGGCCCGGCTGAAGCGAGCCTCTTCTATCCGCTGCCATTAGGTTGGTCGCAGGCTTGCTGCGGGCACGGCTCCCTTCCTCATCCGACCCGCCGGCCCTCGGCAGGCACAGGACGGAGGGATGGACTCCGACCCACCGCTCGGAGGGGCTCGGGCAGGGCAGGATCCCTTTTGGAGACAGAAACCAGAGCCATCACTCGTACAAAGAGTCCCTCTCTGTCCCGGGAAAGTATAAGTCAGTCGTCCCTTCGTCATGTCGTCGATCCGTCTGCGTTAGGTACTCGCGTGCTGCATCCCACCTGTCCCGGTCGAGGCAGCTGCCGTGGACGCTTTGTGCCCGTGGGTCTCCGCCCCGCTTCCCTGCCTTCGCAACCCGCCCGATATGGGGAGAGGCTGGGGGCGCAAGGCTGCCGCCCCCCTCCCCTCTCCCCCATCCCCATCCGCTCTCCGCCACCCCCACCCCCTCTCCCCGCGAGAGCCCCTCGCACTTGAGGCGGGGATGAAACCGGGCTGCCCTCCTGCCGTGTCTGAGGGTCCGGCTGCCGCCACCCTGCGGTCCTTCTGCCGCCCTGCCGGCGCCCCTCGCCCCGGGCGGATGCGCGCACTTTACCTCAGCCGCTGGCAGCCGCGGAGAGGGGGAGCGGACACCGCAGCGCCGCTCCGCTGGAGGGGTGCCCGGAGCGGGAGGGACGGGAGGGGCAGGAGGGGGAGGGGGTGCGAGGGGGCGGTCGCTGCCCCCGAGAAAGGAGCTGGCTCGCAGCGACGGGCGAGATCACAGCCAGGGGAGAGGGAAAGCCAGCGGCGGCCGTGCGCCTCAGGTCGGCGGGGGGGGATGGAGGGGTCCCCCCGGAGCGACGGCGACCGCCTGTGCAGCGCCGCCGCCCGCGGGGACCACGAGGAGGTGAGGAAGCTGCTGCAAGCAGGCGTGGATCCCAACGGGACCAACGCCTTTGGGAGAACCCCGATCCAGGTACGGAATACGCTGGGTGGGGGGCAGGGGGGAAGCTGTGCTCTGCTACGTTGGCGGGGAAGGGTGGGCATTTCATGTTTAGAATGAATTTTTGTCGTTATGATCGGAACCGTACTCCAGCCGCAGCTGTCTGAATTAAAATCTTCACTTAACTAAGTTCAGCCGTCTTGTAAGCACAAAATGGAGTTCAGTGGGGAACCACTGGCAGCAAACGAATTTTTCTAGGGGATACTCAAAAGGAGAAGTGGGACTGCAAAATCCGCTTCCAGATAACCTATCCAGATAGGTCTGGGGAATGATCTGCACTTCGAGCAAATTTCTTGGTTTTTAAAATACAGCCCAAACAGGTCTTTTTTCTCCAGGGAAATCGAAGTGGGGTACTTTTCTAGTATATTCACGAACAAAGAACCTAGAAACTGTGCTGGCAAAAATTGTAACTTGAAACTATTATATATTAGTATATATAGCAACTAGGTAGTCACCTCTTTTTTTCTTTTAGTAGTAGTAATTTTAATATGTTCTATCCATCAATAGCGGCAGTATTTATTAATAGATGTTAGAAGTACCAATATGTAGAGTTGCTTTCCAGGCTGTTTGAGAGTTAGAAGTGTGTTATATTAATCGACATACTTAAATAGACACTTTTAAAATGTTCGTTGAACAATTAATATACTGTGATTTAAGCTAGAGTTAAAATCACAAAATTTTTTTGAGTTGCTATATTCTAGAGATAATATTATTTCTAGAGATATTGAATGATTAACCATGGCTATTTTGTCCTTGCAAAAGCTTTACATGAAAAGTTTTATGTGACAAGTATTTGACATGGGGATTAAATATATTTAATAGTTAACCAGCTAAGCCAAACAGCTATTTTTAGATGAACTTTACATGAAAAATAAAATACTTCTGAAGTGTATTACTCAGAAAGGCTCTCAGAAAGCTATTCGCTTTACTTCTGTTTATATTCAAATTGCAGATGAAAAGAATCTCTGAACCCTTATAAATTATCTCTTTCCTCATTTCAGGCTAAGTTCTCTTTCACTTGTCAGCAAATTGCAAAATGGCTGACACTCGAATATGTGGACCCTCTTTTTCTTTTTGGAAAATATTAATATCGGGGATTTATATATTCTGACGTTTATAAGTATTTTCACACTTCTCCTATAAGTAAACCCAATTATTTGAAGTGCACAAACCAAAGTCCCGAGAAAGAAATTGATAGAAAAACCTATTGTCTTAATATATTTTTCAAGTTGTTAAGTAGCAATTCATGGCAGTTAAAATTCCACTGAAAATGACCAGGATAGTAAGGGAAGCAAAACTCCATGTACTAATTTATTTTGGTTTTTGGATGATTTTTTTTTTAATTGCGTTTTGTTCAGTTGTGTATGATCAATCGTTGCCGAAAGTTTCTGCTACTAGTAAAAAAGCATAATGTCATTAGGAATTTCCCATTTAGACGGTATCATTCGAAATTTTCCATCAGCTAAGTTTGTGCATTGTTTGTGAGAGCTCAGCAACTGCTCTCACACCTCCGAGAAGAAGACAGAGCTGAGGGAGAAAAAAAAAATAGAAAAAGCATATTGGTCCGAAACTCAGGAGGGTAAAGATCGAAAAGATGCACGCCGAATACCAAAAGGAGCCACACCCAGCTGCATTGCCCCATTGCTGTGCTGATCGTTGATAATGCATTCTAAGTGACAGCAATCTTAATGCAATATCCCTCAGGTCCTTTGCTGTCACAAAATACACGGTGTGTATATATAGTATACAAGTATTTACAAACTCTTCATAGGTGTAAATATATTAAATGCATTTTTAATATATGTGTGTGTCTAAATATATTCGTAATATGGACTTATGCACTATTTATTATATAATTATATAAATGGCATCTGTATTGTGTGTACATATCTGTACACACACAGAGCTGCATCTGTACCTGCGTGTAAATGTGTGTGTACATATATATGCTTATACACACACCACAAGTACCATTTATACCATGGTGTATATAAATTACATAAATGTGAAGCAGAACATATGCATTTGTTGTACCTAGCGGGAAACCACCAGCTAATATTTTTAATTTATTATCTAATCATAGTCTATTTCGAGTTGGAAGGGATCCGTACGGATAATCGCAAACGGCTGTCACAACGTATGCAGGTCATGACTACAGGAAGCCGACCTAGCAGAATTACTCCTCGAAGGAGAAGTCAGTCCGGTCGCCGCCAGCCCCGGCTGGCCCCCGGGTTCTCCGCGGAAGCGGGGCCCGTCGGTGCTCGGGGCGGGCGGGCGCTGACGCTGTCTCTCCCCGCAGGTGATGATGCTGGGCAGCCCGCGGGTGGCCGAGCTGCTGCTGCGGCACGGAGCCGACCCCAACCGCCCCGACCCGCGCACCGGCTGCCTCCCGGCGCACGACGCGGCCCGCTCCGGCTTTCTGGAGACGCTGGCGGCGCTGCACCGGGCCGGGGCGCGCCTCGACCTCCCCGACGGCCGCGGCCGCCTGCCCCTCGACGTGGCGGCGGGGGGCCCGCACGGAGCGGTGAGGCGGTACCTGCGCGACCCTCCGGCTTTTCTGGGAGCCGGGGGGGTCGCCGAGAAGCCTGCTCCATGACCCGCTCCCGGCCGTCCATCCCGCCGCTCTTCCTGTGCGTCCCGGGCACTCCGGCTCCCGCTCCTGCAAGACACGTGCTGAGATTTTCTCAGTTTCCTGAGAAAAAGGAAAAATTCCAAAACACAATCAAGATTAGCACTCCTGCTTCTCCGTCTCATGCTCTCCGGAGGGCAGAGCACAAGCGCCAGACGGCTTTTTTGCGCTTTAGCGGGGGGAAAAATATTTAATGTTCGCCTTTTCCTCTTTTTGTTTGTTTACAATAAAGCTGCTTAGAAGTGAGAACGCTACTGGCTTGCTCACTGCCCTGCAAGGCTTTGTATTTTAGTTGTTCCTTGAGTTCCTTTTATGTAGTTGCTCTTCCAAATAGTGGACATTTTAGCCATATAATTCACAAATTTAGTTTAACCCCAGAGTTTCTCCCCTCACCAGCTGATGCAACATAAAGTTTTAACACCAAGATGTAGCAGTGATTTAATGGTAACAATTTTAACGCTGCTCAGCATTACAGTTGAAGAACTACAAACATTTTGTGTAGCTGTATTTATGGAAATTTCTGTGAGAAAACAACTGTCAATCAATTGGTTATTGCATCGTTTTTTGCATTTGGAGACCACAGTGCTCAGAAGATATGGACAAAGAGCTTCTTATTTTTAAGACGGCTTTCTGGGTCTCTATATTTGGAAACAACAACAAATTAACGAGTTTGGTCATAAATCTGGATTTTTGCATACTTTTTGGTTTCTGTTTTTCCTGCGTAATTTCTATCATCTACCTGCTGTTCATGCCACTTATGTATGAATAAATACCTGATATTATTCTATAATAAAACATAAAAAAGATTGGCTTAAAAATAATTCACTCCTCGTATTCGAGTATTTAATGGTTCTGCATGCAGGACTACTTAGTTGGGTGGTGTTATTTATTTCAACTTTGTTAGTTGCTTTCAATTTTTGAGTGTGTGTCTGCATAAATAAACACACACAGCACAATAACAATAACCAGGACTTTTCCCAGATATGCATTATTTAAGCACATAGACATAAAGTTTAAAATAGCCAAATAGTTTATTTTCTTATTGAAAATAACACTTAAAGTACAAAAAAGAAAGCTCACCTGTAGTTTGTACCTCCTTTGCATTCATGATCTATTTTTAGAAATGGGAGCGGCAGGGATGGGGAATCATTCCTCTCTCTCAAAAACAAACAACAAAGCAAAGCAAAGCAAAACAAAACCAAACCCAAAAACAAACAAAAAATCCAAACAAACAAAACCCCCCCAAAACCCCAAACCAAACAAACAACCCAAACAACAACGTTGTTTCTTAGCTCTTTGAGGGACATACGGAGAGCGAGCCCATCACAGAGCATGTTGGATGTTTGGCGTCTGGGCGCAAACTCATCTGGGGCAGGGCGGGTGGGACAAGTCGGACCCTATGATGCTGGTCGCCCCCTTTCCAACTCAGAGTAGCCTGTAATTCTGAGAAGGAGCTTTTAGTTTTCTCTCCCGACCCTCCAGGCGGGCAGGAGCCCAGCTCAGCCTCTCGAGCTGGGGTCTGAGGACAGGTGCTTGGCAGAGCTCGGCTGGCACGGCGGCAGCGCATCCATTCACACATCATTCATTCACATCGCGCATCCATTCACACACCGGCCCTCCTGCCTGCAGGCTGTCCATGCCGTGGGAAGGAAGCCCAGAGCTCCGGGAAGTCCCCTCCGAAACATGGCAGGGGGAGTGGCACTCACACCGGGATGCCCACAGGATTTTCACCAGCCTCTCCCTCCTCGGGAAAGCTGTGCCAAAAGAGTGTAACCTCCCCAGAGGCTTTGGCCTCAGAGCTGCCAAAGCCCAGAACTTCCTTGGGAAGTTGCCTGAAGGGGATGGAAAGTTCTAGGCATGGAGTTATGTATGGTGATTTCAGAGCTGGTGAAAATCTAGTTCATTCTTTGGACAAGGAGCCAGCAGTGCTGTGAGCTACAAAAACCACACCTCAATTGCATGTGAATGCCAGCATGTGGATGCCTGAAATAATTTGACAGGATATTTTCAATTGCGGTGTCCTCTGTCAAACTTTAATAAAATACCTTCAGGCATAATGGCACTTAGAAAAGCAGAGTTTGCTATTACACACTACAAAAAATTACTCTTTCAGAACATGACTCCCAAGCTTTAAAACAGGCAACATCCCCTCCAATTCACCCAGATTTATTGTGTCTACAGGCTTTAAATCCTGTGTTCAAAATCTTCGAAAACTTCAGGGAAAAAAAGGAAAAATAGAAACTGTTTTAGAAAAGGAAGTTATCATCCCACCTAGCCTGGAACAAAAGCGTGGAAATAACATTAACTTCATTGCCTACTTACACAGAATAATAAGCCTCATGTGCTTTAAATCTCAGGAAGAAAATGTAAATGTTCAGACCTGTTACAGAAGAAAGCGAGGATTTGAATATAGAAAAGGCAAGCCAAAGTACCAAGTGCTGGAGAGTGAACCTCTGAAGACATTTGTGTCTTTTAAGTGCCCTGGTGGGGTAAGCACTCCCAGGGAAGAGATGATATACCTAGTCATTTTATTTTAATTATTTTTAAAATCAGATTTCAACCAATCCTAAACCAACACTCATTGAAGTAATTAAATATTTCTTCTTTCTTTCCCCCCTCCCCCCCAAACTCACAGGAAAAAGAGACAGAACTAGTTTGAAATACAGTATGAACAGAAGACAGAACACTCCTTTATTTTGTGGAAAAAAAGGTCTCCAGAGAACCAATATCTCCACATTCCTGTCTCTTACTACATATTTGTAAGTATCTTTATGCTTTTGGTAGAAACACTTGCAAACACAGTGTTTCTGTGTTGTAGAAAGTCCAAGAAGGTGTAGTGAAAGAAGAGATGGTTGAAAACCAATTATCTTGTAACTAAAGGCGTCGGGCTGCCTCCCAGAGAGGTACACAGAAGACTGGATCTGACACTGCTATTGAGTGTTAGTTCAGGATTGACAACGGGCTATGAGAAGCCCTGTTTACACCCACAGCTTCGGGCAAATAAGGACCAAGGGGACAAAACATCTACGTTTAGCTAGACCATCAGCAGAGGTCATGACATTAGACATATCCTACTTCCTACAACTGAAATAGGTAGCTTTTGCTGCCATTGATGTAACAACGAAACCAAAACAAACAGACAAAAAAAACCCCAAAAAAACAAAAAAAAAAAACCCTCCAAAACCACCACCAGCAAAAAGAGCAAAAAAAACAACCAACCACCACTAACAACAAACGAAAAACCTCACTAGCAGGAGGCAGCAACCCTGCGCGAACTACCGTACAAACCACCTTAGCACGCCCGATTGCCCGCTCCAGGTCGCCGCCTCCTTACAGCCCTCCTTTAATCACCCGCCGCTCGCCGAAGGAAAACTCCGCCCTGCGCCTGGGCAGCTAGGAAGAACCAGTCGCTCCTTTCAGGAAGCAGCCTCCTTCATGATTTCTAAACAGAAGCATTCTTACTTGAGGAGCTGCGTGGCAATCTAGAATATGAGAGTTTGACCTCCCAGGTGGGCACCTTTTTCTCTCCATGGTGCTGGTTGTCTACAGGTAAGAAAACAAGCATGCTGAGACCTGGGAGGAGGGTATCCGGAACAGGGGAGAGAAAAGACACAGGTCCAGCTCAAGAAGGAGGTGCCTGGGGAAAGCAGAGACAAACACGGCTGCCTGTGCCTGAAAGGATGCACCAGGTACACATATTCCTACCCCACTCCATGTCAGCCTGGGCTAATGGTTTTATGGTTTTGATTGGCTTCTTAATACTCATACTTGCAGAAATCCAATGCATATGGCTGACAAGCAGTGGCACTTAAAATCAGACAGCAGATCCTGCTTGGTGGAGCCGGTGAGAGGGCATTCCTTGCCTACAGAATAAGGACTTGAACATTGCAGGCTTTATGTTGTGGTGTTTTTTTTTTTTTTTGGTTTTGTGGGTTTTGTTTGTTTGTTTTTTTACATTTGTTTTTTCTTTAGATGGTGAGCAGCCTAAGGGCCAGAGAAGAAAATGATAGTCAATCCAAGGTATCTGTGACACCATGGAGTGGAGAATTTGTACTGAAATGATCCAAGGACAGAGATTATTCCACTGTCCTCACATGCAATTAAGGGGAAAGAAACTCCTACCAGCTTATCTTGCTGGTTTACTTTGAGGCAGATGCAAAGGAACGATTTTTATGTTTGAAGATGTTATGAAAACACAAAAATTATTGTACAGTTGATAAAAGCACATACAAAAGTCACTTCCTATAAAGCACTAACTATTATGATTCTAAGGTTAAATTAAAAGATTTCAAATGAAATATCTTCCTTCTTGTGCTAGAGGAACCACACTGTGTAGTGGAAACCACTGTATAGTGGAAACCAACATGCTGTGTAGGAAACCAAACAACTGGACAGACTTCATGTGTCCTCTAGAATATGTTTCACTTATAACAGGCACTATTCTTAGGTCCATCTGGGTCTCATCTATGAGACCCACTCCGATGTTCAGATTGAAAACATACTTTCATGTATGCTTAATCATACAGATCTTAGCACTACAAATTGCCTGAGCCAATTCATAGCAAAGGTGGTGGAGAAATTGACAGTCATCTAAATAAACAATGGCAAACCTCTGCAAAAGTGGGATCAAATGTTAATTTCAATTCTTTTGCACTGTGCTGCTTCAACCAACACTGCAATGACAGTGGAGAGAAGAAGCAGCCGTTTAAAACAGTTAAGCCAGAATTTCCATCTTAGAAGGCTGATCCCGCTCAGTGCTGAGTACCTCCTGAATTAATTTCTCATCTTACTGATACTCAGCTGGTTTCAATAGACAAAGCAATCTCTTGCTGGTTCATTCTGGGAACATCAACTGCTCTCTGATCTGTTTTGAATACTAATACAAAAACTCAATTCTGATGTCATATGCCATGTATGCAAATTCTCAGATCTGCTTTGGATATTAGCATGAAAGAGTGTTAAATCTTAGATACATGAAAATGAGATATGAGTGGGCAATCTCATGTTAGCAAGCTATATCGATGGTAGGCCACAAAGAATGCCTTAGAGAAAACAAAAAAAACAAGAACATGAGTAAATCTAATGGCCTGCCTCCTGGTGAAGTTTTGTGCCATATTTGAACCCACAGTATTGCATGGCCATCAGTACCTTATACTGCTAATATGCACACTGGAGGATGCTCTGAGCAAAATAAAGGGAGATCTTATCAAAACAATGATATCAGTCAAGCTTGGAGGCCATACTTTGGAACCTGGGATGTTTGAAAACTAGGCAACAGCCATAATTTACCATCCTATATTGTGATAAGCTATTTACCAGACCAAGATGCAATTTTCTAAGAGCCTCAAAATGGTACTTGCTAACACTGATTCTGATGTTATGATATAGGACTTGCTAACACTGATTCTGATGTTATGATATAGGAGCAACATCAATACTCTGCACCAGAAGGCAGCACTCCAAATCCTTCACAGCAAATGGACTAAAAAAACAGTTGCAAAAAAAAAAAAAAAAAAAACCAAAAAAAGTTGAAGTGTTGCAACTTTTATCAGTGAAGTCCTCTGCCCATCACTGTCTCATTCTTGTGAAACCAGACACATTCTGAGTCCAAGAAAGGGCCATGATTCTTTGTTAGAATGTTTACTTGGTTTTAGTAATGCAATACATGTAGTTTGTATCTTTGTCCTATTACACCTGCTGTTCTGCCTACAATAAATACATTTCTTAAGACTGTTTAGAAACACAATTAAAATCACTTATATTTGGCCCTATCTTTACATAACTAAGCATTATCCTATGCTTTTTTTGCCAATTACCATCTCTGTCTGTAGTCCTATGGGTAAATTACTTGCAACACATTTCAGACTGTAAAATGTACACTGAACTTTGCAAAAAAACACACCTCACACTACCAGAGTTTTATGGACTTTATATACAAATTCTGCGTGAGATACCATCAGGTACCAAGCCTGTGTTGACAGAACAAGTAAATATGATGGAAAGGTCTCTTCCAGCCCAAACCATCAATCCTCCTGCCACAGGCACGGACACCTTCCGTGTCTTAGCTGGTCAGAACTCTGACTATGTGATTCTGAATACTTCCGAAGATATCCAAAACTTCTCTAAGCAACTTGTTTCACTGTCTCAGCAGCCCCATCATAAAAACCATTTTTACATCCAATCTAAATATACCCACTTTAAAACTGTTGCCCTTTGTCCTGTCACTACAGGCTGTGGTGAAATGTCTCTCTCCCTTATGTTCTGAAAGGCCACTCTAAGGTCTCCCTAGAGCCTATTCCTCTCGTCTGAACAATCCCAACTCTCTCCGCCTGTCCTCTTTGGAGAGGTGTTTCATCCCTCTGATCATCTTTGTGGTACTCTGCTGGACTTGCTCCAACACATCTTTCTTACAGAGGACCCCAAAGCTGGATGCAATATTCCAGGTCTCATGAGAGCAGAGGGGCAAAATCACCTCCCTCAATCTGTTTTTGATGCAGCCCAGGATGCAGCTGGACTTCTGAGCTGCGAGTGCACACTGCCGGCCCATGTTCAATTTTTCATCCACTAGCACACCAAACTTCATCTCCACAAGGCTGACCTCCACCACTTTTGCCTCAACTGAAATGCAGCACCTTCTGCTTGGTCTCGTTGAACTTGGGCCCCACTCCTGAGCCTGTCAAGGTCCCTCTGGATGGCATTCCTTCCCTCACTTACCACTCAGCTTGCTGCTTTTGCCTTCCACAAACTCAATCCTAATATCTTACTTAAGTGATAAAAATACTACACAGTACTGGCCCCAGACTTCTGAGGGAAACCATATGCTCCTGGTTTCCACTTGGACACTGAGCTATTTGACTGACTCTTTGGATGCAGCCATTCTTATCCAGTGTTCTCACCAAGTCTTCTTGCATATGAAGAATTTGTAACAGAAATGTGTAACAGAACCCACTACCCATGGACCTCCTCTGTGCCACTCTCCTGTTGGCACTAAGTACCCAGAATATAAGCTAAAAAATTTAGCGTAACAATTACCATTATATATCACTACCAAATGCAAAAACAGAAACCCAGGGGGATTGAAAATGGACACCTAGAAAAACATTTCTCAGAGAACACTCAGATATTAATTTCCTTGCTCTGATCCATTTCACCAAAAGTGCCTATGGAAGAAAGATAAAAATGGAAACCATTCTTAAGGCCAGATATATGATTTGGCTTAGTGGAAGGTAATGAAAGGTATGTTCAAGCTCTGGCTCCTGCAATCCAAGTTCTTAAAAAAACACCAGGAAATACAGAAAATTGGTTAAGCTGTTTTCCCCAGTACTCCAGCACCTCTATTGGCTTTGCTGGGAAGAATACATCCAGATCTTTCACAGTAGGAGACTGGGTGTCTAACAGAAAAAGACTGGGAAGCTAAAATGCTTGTGTACCTGCTTTCTTCCGTTTTCCTTTGGATTAATTTTTTTTTTAACAGTACTATGAGGATCCTTACCGTTCATGTTTCTGATCTTTTCCTTGCATTCTGATCCACCTCTGCCTCAGCAATCCCTGCTGTTCAGGGACTTAGAACTCAAAGTTCTGAGCAACACAGTACTTTCTAGAAAGTGTCTTTCTGAAAGTGTTGTTAGGTATCATCACCAACCTGTTTCATGAATGGCAAAAACCATTGTGAGACATAACAACTAGAAGTAAATAAACTACCACCGCCCTTGATTTCCACACATCTTGGAGAAGCATACATTTCATTCATTTTATTTACTAGACAAGAAATAGCAGGTTATTTTATTAAAATAGAACTGTATTAAAAAATTGAAATGCATACATTCAAACCACTAGAGCACATTCATCATTTAATACAGGAACTAAAATTGGAGCTGTTCAATAAAGCGGAAAATGGGTATGTTTGGGACACTGTCAGCAAAGCAATTTTTCTGTACAGTTCTGGAAGTCATGTAAGTACATCCTCAGGCATGAATTTGGTTTAGGTATTACTTTAGTCCCCAACACTAACTCATAACAGAACTGCTGATGTGACAGAACCACCAGGTCTTCTAGCACACAAAACAAATACACTGCTTTAAAAAATCACTGGAATAAAAAATATGGATAATGTATAAAAATAGTATAATTTTAATTTGAAATTGTTTGTTCAGTTTTTCTGTTATGTTTCTGAAGTGAACTGTAACCATGTGCCTTGTTGAAGAAAAAGATGGGAGGTAGAAACAGCAACACAAATAGCCTGTGAATCTGCTTTCTTAGACCTTATTTTATGAAACTGCAACAACAATATTACTTAGACTTTCCTTTCTACCATCAGTTAAAAGGTACCACTGAATAAAGCATAGTGATTTTTTTTTCTTTGTCGGATACAGTTTGTCAGTAGGGCTATTTATAGTTGAAAACATACTCAAAATCTAATTTTTACCATCTTATCAAACCTACAAAGATTTTAACAGCAGCCTTACACATGATCATCAGTCAATTCTTTTTGCTTAGTCAGTTTAGTCCATTCTTTTAAGCTTGTAACAACTGTTGAAGATATTATGACCTCTGAAAGTTTGAAAGTGATCCACTCTTCCTTGAAAGCACTGAAACTTCAAGGTTCATCCAGGTTGTTACTGCTTTGGCAGGATGACCGAACATTGCACCGTTGTCTGAAATACAAAGTCACAGGAAATAAATGCTTCTTTTGCTAATGCAGAGAGAATTACTTTTCATTGTAAAGGTAGATTATGTAGCTTCCATTTGGTACTAACATGTGAAAATCCTTCCACATGCATAGTATATCCAATATTTTCCAACACTGCAGAAGTCGATATAATTACAAGGAGGGCATACACACACAACGAGTTTTCATTACAACTTTGCAAAGCTATGTGATAGGCTTATTGGTATGGAGAAGAACAACCATATTGCAAGAACATTAATTGACGAACTTTGGACTTACAGATGGCAAATAAAAAATTGTGCAGCATGTTTTCTGTAACCTCTACATGACTTTCCATAAATTCTGAAGTACAGCTATCAAGAACAGCAACCAGCCAGATGGCACTGACTGTGAGTGAATGAAATACTCAAGTTATGTAGGGACAGGCAACTTTGACATTAGCCACATTCAAGGGCAGGGTCTGAGAAACATTTTAATCTCAGTTTTTGTGAGAAGTCCTTGGCCTGCAAGTACCCCTGCATGTAGACCAATGGAATTACAATTGAAGTGAAGCCTTGATGAACTTTCTTCCTCCACTTTACTCACCTGAGCCAATATACATTCACAGTCATATGACCAGTATCACTGATGAGATATTTTTTGAGGAAGAAAATTACTCAAAGATATTTACAAGATTAGAGTTCTATATACAGAACTTAATAATGTATGTTTCAGTTTGAGATAGACTAGAAAAAATACTAAGCTTGATGCCCTTCAACTTGTTACCTCTCAAATCACAAAAATGCCCAAGTGACTCCGTGATTAAGAGTATTGAAATACATCTACAGTTACCTTACCCAATCTAAACTACCCTAGAGTATTCACTTACCACAACTCGCAAAATACAGCATTATTTCTTGTATCAGAGATCTGACAAATTTCTCACAAGCTAGTACAGAAGTTCAAGAAAAAGGCAGGTAGTACCAGCAGGTTTCCCCACAGAACCAAGAAATTTACCTAAGAAGCACTCCTAAAAGCTCTGACACCTTACCACAAGCTGATCTTCTTACAGCCAAACTGCAAAAAAAAAAAATCAGTTCTAACAGGACATTCCTTTTACCATATAGTACAGATTCTCTCCTGATACTCATGGGACTGAACCTTATTGTAATAAAGGTACAGAGCTCAATTCCTAGTTATGAGGAGCTAAAATTCTTTTCAACAGGACAGTTTTTTCCTAACTCATACTTTTCTTAGCAAAGATTAAAAAGAAATCTACCTTATCAGTTACTATATGAAATTATCTGCTGCCACCAATTCATTTACTTATGGGCAATAAGCCCATGTTTTACATGGTAAGTTTTTGTTATCAATGCATTGGCTGCAGTTCTTGCTGCCTTTGACATCTCTTCCAATTGTCAATTATAGATAAGCTCCTATTGTCCTGAAAGCATCCCTAACATACCTGCACTGTTTGGGTTCTCTCTTTGCAACTTGCTTCTGCTTCCAACCATTGAATGCTATATTTTTGCACTAGAACTGTTTCCTGTTCAGTCAAGGTCTTTCTGTGGATTGGTACTATGCTTGGAGAATGTTGCCCATAAAGACCTGCCAACTTTCTGGAGCTCCTTAACTCTCTGAGCTATCTCCTATGAGATTATACATACTAATTCACTGATTGAAAACAAGTATGCTCACCTGAACTCCAGCAACTGTACTTTTAATTGCCTTACTTGCTCTTCATAGAATGCTGGATGCCACAATTTCATGAGCAAAAACTGTCAATACTTATCACCTCACTAAATAACTCTTCTCAGTAAACAGCATACCCAGCTGTATATTACACATAATTGACCAGCCTATGCAGAAATTTCCTTGACACCCATCAGAAATCACTTGGACCACTGTGATCAAAAGCATCATCTGTGTTTCCTGACACATGACATAAATACCATGTGGTCACACCCTGTTCTGAAAGAGTGAGGGCTTTAACTTGACACTGGAAGATTATCTCTTTACAGCAAGAAAGCCACAAAATACTGGCCTAAAGACATATTAGCCAGTTAAAAAAATAGAAACTTTCAAAGTACACTTACACTCACTGACATATCAAAGATTAAATGATACCGTAAAGAGAAGCAATGGCAAGCAGCCTATCATTTATAAAAAAAAACCCCAGCCCTTGGACATTTTGTTTCAACACTTAAGTCCTTCCTTGAGATTACTGTGGGATTCAGAGCTGACACCACTGGCATGTGTGTTGATCTGGGATTAATACTTTCACACAAGGAGACAGAGAAATACAGGTGGGCAGAGACTGACAGCATGTTTTCTCCTACCAGGTGAAGTTCCTCCATCAAAGCAGACAGATTACAGGTCTTGGAGAAGAAAAGCTGTGTCTATATACAGCTTTACTGTTTCACAAGCTTCCCCAACACTAAACCAGACATTTGCCCATTTGATATGCACAGCTATGGCTTGGATATATGCTGTCACTGATAGTAGTGTACCAGCTGCAGTCTTACTTAGTTTGCTTCTTGTCTGTGTTCCTTAACATATTTCCACATCGTATGCAAGATGTGCTGCCTTCAAGTTCTAGGAAAAGAGCTCCAAAACAGTTCAAAAACTCCATCATCTGGCTTTCAAAACTCACACTATAAAATATACTGAAGTGCACTACAAGACAATAGTTTTTAAAAAACTCTTTATGGTTCAATTACGTAGCGGTACAGAGGCATGTACATGTGTCTTTATCTTTGCTGCCCTGCAAAATTGCCTCTCTACTTTGTTAACACCAATCCTTCATCTGCTTTATCACCACTGAATTCCCCAAACAGGAACATTTGTAGTCTTTCCTGATATTCCTATGTAAAATTAAAGGAAGCCTCCAAAGCCTCTGGAGCTTCAGAATTTCTCACTATTCCAGAGTTCCTGTTCTTTCAAATCATTAACACTTGTGGCTCCTACTTTTTTGATATAAAATTTCAATCCCCACTGCCTGTTTCCAGCTCTTCCAGTGCCTTCAGATCAACTCTCTTTCTCAGTACACTATCACACAAACCTATCTGAAAAGAACATAAACACCTAAGAATTGTAAGTGAAACTATTTCATTATTCATCATTGATATGAGGCAGTAGATATTTTAAGAGAAAAAGAGTTAAGAAGCAAGATTAGGATGGAGTGACTCCTCCTCTGGTGCATAACATTTTCTTTTCTGCAAACACTGGACGACTAAGCTGGAAGAAGTACTTGACAATGGACTGAAAGAACAGCTGGTGTTGATTAAGGGGGAATATTGCAAATGTAGTACCAGCTCTGTTTCACTCCCAATGAAGATTCAAGACAATCATGAAAAGGAACACACTGCTCACTGAAGTATGCCTGCCAGAAACCAAGGCACATTCATCAGTACTCAAGAAGTGTAATATACTTGGGAACCACTTCCTTTCATGCCAGTATGAAAAAAAAGTGCCTGAGGAGTATCTAACACATTTTGTATTATTTGTTCAAACTCTGAGTTTGCTGTAAAGCTCGGCATCTGTATTAAAAAGTGCAGTCCCATTCTCTGAAAATGTTTTCTATGGATTAGAGGGAAGAAGCAACAATGATTTTGGTGCTTCCCTTATCCATGCAATGATACAACTTCCTAACAAATGCAAATGCAAAAGGGAAAGAGTCATTTACCTCTCTCATATGTACAGAGAGAACATGAAAATAACTGTTTCAGATAACCAGGTGAAAAAGATTCACAAAGATAATTCAGGCTGTCCTAAAGAAAAGTACGTTTTTCAGTAAAGTATTAGCAAAAGACTAATTTAAAGAATTTGGGTTAGAATTCTACAAACCTGACTGGCCATTTATGCTTAAGAAGTGGCTGAGGGTGCATTTTACTGAATATGTCTTCCCTTCATGACATTGACTAACCTAGAGATGAGAATCACTGATACAACGTATTGGTTTTGTGTGGCCTGGTTTTGGTAGTGGTGGGGGGATTACAGAGGTACCTTCTATGAGAAGATGCTGGAAGCTTCTTCCATGCCCAGCACAGCCAATCCCTGGTGGCTTCAAAGATGGATGTGCTGCTGGCCAACGCTGGGCTAATTACAAATGGTAGCAATGCCTCTGTGATAAAACACTAAAGAAAAATTAAAAACTAAAAGGGTTGGGTAGTTGTAACTGAAGAGAAGAGTGGAGTGAGAACATGTGCAGACACCAAGAAAACTCTGTGAGAACTCCGCAGACACCAAGGTCAGTGAAAGAAGGAGGGACAGGTGGTGTTTCAGGCCGCCAGAAGCTGGGATTGCCCTGCAGGCCGTGGTGCAGCCCATTGTGAAGCACTTGTGACCGTGCAGCCCATTAGAAACTCTGGTAACACCTCTACGATAACATATTTAAGAAAGACAAAACGATGGGAACTCTCTTTTCTTCCTCTGCTTGGAGAGGTGGCAATGGGGGCCATCGGTCCCCTTCTCGGCGGGTCCACCAGACCATGCCGGGAGGGGCCATCCTGGAGGGGAGAGCAGCCCTGCAGCCAGAACTGGGAGCAGTCCTGCAGTTGCGACCCAGAGTGGCTGGGGCCAGGAATGGCCATGTTCCTGCTGCCATCTTGGCATGGCCAGCAATGGACTTTGCCTGCCTGGCCACTTCTAGCCTGCCGCACCACAAACAGAAGGGGAGAAGCAGCGGCAGCAGCTTCTCCTTTTTGGCACCCAACACAAAGCGAGGCACTAAGTGGAGCCGGCACTATGGTGGCCAGCATGGCCTGCATGGAGCTGGTGGGGACCACATGATCAGCAGTGAAAGGCATGACAAGCAATTCCCTGATACAGAGCCCAGACAAAATCAATCTTTCAGCACAACTCTTTTAAGAACTTTTCAATTGATAGAAACTGAGAACAAACAAACCTGTCAACACCAATTCTTTCCTGAGTCAGAGGAAAGGGAAAGGTGAAGACACGTGAGGAGAACAACACAGCGACACTAAGGTCAGCGAAAAGGAGGGAGGGGGAGGAGGAGCTGCTCCAAATATCAGAGCTGAGATTCTTCTGCAAGCCATGGTGAGGACTATAATACAACAAACTGTTTCCCTGTAATTCATGAAGTGCATGGGGGATGCATGATTCACCCGCAGCCCATGAGAAGAAAGTGCTCGCGCTGGCACACGTGGATGCTAAAAAGCTGTGATCTGGTGACAGACTTGAGCAGAGAGAGAGAGAGAGAGAGAGAGAGAGAGAGAGAGAGAGAGAGAGAGAGAGAGAGAGAACCCTTGCTTCCAGAGGTAGAAGAAGAGGAGCCTTGCTTCTAAACTAGAACAGCTCATCCTTAGAAGACTATACTCCATGAACTAAAATGGCCCATGAAAAACAGTTGTGGGAAAACTGTTTGCCCTTGGGAGAGACTCAGGCTGCAGCAGAGTGGGTGGGACTGCTACTTGTGAAAATTAGAACCATGTTGGAGAAGTTCACAGAGAATTGTCTCCTGTGAGAAAGACCATATGGCATTTCAAAAGAGACTCCCCTCCCTAAGCAAACAGAAGTTTTTCAGAGGCGACAAACTCTAAAACTAAAACCCTCATGCTTTGTCTCTCTTTGCTGTCGGTGGGAAGGAAGGGCTGGGGTAGGGGAGGAGAGGTGTTCTCAAGGTTTTAGTTCTCCTTATCCTCTTTTAATTCTGTTAATAAAGTTTTTCTTTATACCTTTTAAAGTTTTGGGCCTGTTTTGCCCTTACAGTGTTTTGTCCTAATCTTTATCTCACCCCATGAGCCTTTTAATTTCTTATTCCTTCCCCCTCCTCTGCTCAGCTATAGCAGAGAAGAACGAATGAATGATTTTTCATGGGAGCACTAGCATTTGGCCAGTGTCAAAATTGTGACATTTTTGGTGGAGGCAAACATAAGAACTTTGAGATAAGGATATTGAATGGGAGAAATAAAAGGCAAAACAAGTATTAAATCACAAAATTGTGTAGAATGATAGTGGGAAATTTGTATTGTAATTGTAGTGAAAATCTAGGGGTGTTTTTTTTGTGTAATTTGTCTTTTTTGTTCTGTGTAGTGACTGTACCTTAGATTAAGTGTAGAGAATTTTCTCTTCTGTTTAGTTTAGTAGTTTTTTGTTGTTCTAACTAAGGATTATATGTTGAGTGTAATTTCGATAGTAATTCTTAAATATTCATAGAAGCCAGGAGTGGAATTACCATGCTCTGATTTTGTTAATAATAAATTCAATTAATATCTCTAAGCTGAGCCTGTTTAGCTCGTGACAGTATTCGATGAATGATCACTCCTGGTCCTTACGTCAACCCAGTTAAAAAAAGTTTGTTAAGAAGCTGGATAGCTGTTTTAACATTGTTTTTACCCTTTTTCTTACATCCACAAAAGAATCTCAAGTATGCCTGTGATATACAGATAATAAAAAACACAAGTAAACCTTGTCTAAGAAAAATTCTGCTTAATAACTCCCTTGCCAATGTATTTTGAAATGTTTTCTTTTCCCTATTTTTTTAATCTTGGACTTAAAACCTATGGAGAACACAATTCTAATAATTTTAAATTCGTTATTACACATATCTTTTAAGACTCTTCCTGTTCTACATATTAAGGTAAGCATAACGTTTTTGGTTAGGTTCAGTCTCTTCTATTTGATTCTTCTTTGTGTTAAGATCCAAAATCAAGGTTTCATTTGGATACTCACATATGTATTTGTATCTTACTTTGTATCTAATTTATTTGTATCTTATGAACATCTTATGACTGATGTCTCACTTCATCAACAATATACAGCTATCTGTTTTTTTTAACCTTTTCCAAAACTTCTTGTAAAACTGAAGCTACAGTTGCAAGCTAAACTTGGTAACAAAACTTGCAAGAATCATGTAGAATCTGTCTGCCCTTCTTGAATGAGTTTGGTTTCTCAAACCATTTACTCTGAAACATTTTGATTTATGCAAAAATATCCTGTAAAATACACCAGTGTTGTGTGTACACACACATACCCTGTCCCTGGTATTCATCAGCCTCATTCGCATACTTACTTTCAGAGTGTGCAGGATGCTGGTCCATTCCATGGAGCCTATCTGAGGTATGGCAGTAAGGAGTATGCTTGTAGCCTTATTTGCATTCCCTTTCAGTGTCTTTAAAACTTTATCCACTGAAACCTAGAAATACAATACAACTGAGTGGTGTCTCTCAATTTTGATGTCACACATTTTAAACACCCAAATAAATTTAACTCGGAAGCGTAAAAGTGGAGCCTTAGAATATCAGTCTTTTTGGATAGTACAAATGTTTTTAACTCTGTGTGTGTATGGTTTATAGTTGTGTACCGCAAACAAATAAGAGAACTAAAGCATATACATTGTTTTGTACAGAGCTGCAAAAGGAAAATCACCAGACCAATCAAGTCACAAAGAAGACAGAATTCATGAGCTTCCTATCCACAGATGCCCTGATTCAGACAACAGGAAACAAAAAGTTTGCTAGTAGTGAGGCAGGTTCATGAAAACGAATGTAATAGCAACAACTGAATCTATTTTTACTTTCACAATAATTCATCAAGAATAACTCAGGGATTCTAATGTAATTAAGAATAGATTTGGTACAGTATGTCATCTCTGATCAAAACCTACACATTCTCATCCAAATCCCTCAGGGCAACAACAGAGGAAAAAAGTTTCACTCACAGCTTCTTCATGTTCCTTCCAGCAGTCATAATCTGTTGCCATGGCAATACTAGCATAACTCATTCCAGCTTCCTTTGCAAGAATCACTTCAGGCACTGTAGTCATGTTGATAACATCAGCTCCCCAACTGCGAAACATACAGCTTTCTGCTCGAGAGCTGAAACGTGGGCCTTCAATTGTGATCATTGTCCCCTTGGAGTGACACTGGAGCCCCAGCTTCTTGGCAGTCTCAATAAGAACCTGCAAAACATGCCAATGTCGAAGAAAGGAAATAATTCCCTTTGTGCACTGCCTTTGCATCCCATCAAAAACTTGCACACAAAAGGAGTTAGCTTTATACAGAGTAGTCATATTTCATATGACTACAGCTGTCCAAAATCAAAGATGAGTTTTGTTTTCCTCACCCAACAAGAAAAATAAGCAGTCCTACCAACAGGGAGGAACTTGAACTCGTCTGATTTTGTTAGTATCAATTGGATTACTGCTTTCAATGCAGACAAAGAAAATTAGGAAACAGAATTTTTTGCACATTTAGACTGTGCCTACATTGCAGGCAGAATTGCAGGTAAAAGCATTCCACTGAGCACTGCATTATCACATGTAGAGCTAAGTCAGTGAAAACAGTAGTAAGAAATTTGTATTTTGAAAGTAAAACTTTACAAGCACATACTTCAAAGAGTACCCTGGGAATCTGTGCAGAAATTATAACCACATTTTCACATGTCAGTAGCTGAACTGTATACTGGACATATAGCATATAGTCTGTTGGGGGTTAGGTTTATTTTCTTTTGCTGCTTTTTACTTACAGAATTTTCCCCGTTTGCTAGGAAACTTTAATGACTGAGTACTTAAGGAAAAACAGGGTACTGAAGGAAACCAAAAGAACTGGCCAGGCTCAAGGGAGTGGGACAGGTAAAGGAGGGCTGGGGAGCTGCTAACTTTCTTGCTCTGCGACTTCAGAGGAAGACGGTCTGAACCGCTGCTTCGGGAAGGAAATTTGCTTCTGCCGCTGGAGCCCAGTTCTGTCCTGCTTCTTCTGCTGTGGGCTCGGTGCTCCCAAGTGCTGCTCGGCACCAGGACCGGCCGCCCCAGGCTGGTGAGGCGCAGCCGCTCCTCCATCCCCGCCCGCCCGGGCCCGGCCGCCATCGCCGCGCGCTGCCCGAGCCCGCCCACAGCGCCCCCGCGGCCGCGGGGAGTCCCCGCGCCTGCCCCGCCCGCCGGGAGCAGCGCCCCTGCCGGCCGCGCCCGGAACTGCAGCACAGGGGAGCGCGCAGGGCCGAGGCGGCCGCGGACGGGTGCGGGTCCGGGTGCGGGTCCGGGTCCGGGTGCGGGTCCGGGTCCGGGTCCGGGTCCGGGTCCGGGTCCGGGTCCGGGTCCGGGTGCGGGTCCGGGTCCGGGTCCGGGTCCGGGTGCGGGTGCGGGTCCGGGTCCGGGTCCGGGTCCGGGTGCGGATCCGGGTCCGGGTCCGGGTGCGGGTCCGGGTCCAGGTGCGGGTGCGGGTGCGGGTGCGGGTCCGGGTGCGGGTCCGGGTGCGGGTGCGGGTCCGGGTCCGGGTGCGGGTGTGGGTGCGGGTGCGGGTCCGGATCCGGGTCCGGGTCCGGGCCCCGACTGGCGTTAACGCAATGCTGGTGTTTGTTTGCTTTGTCACACACACTAGCAATGAACTGCTATTCCTAGTCTCATGTCCTTTTGCCTGAGGGCCCCTTAACTTCAAACTTATAATAATTCAGAGGGAAGGGCTTTACATTCTCCATTCCAAGGGAGGCTCCTGTCTTCCTTAGGAAACGCCTGTCTTTCAAACCAAGACAACTTCCCATCAGTTTTTTAGTTCCAATGAGAACCTCATACATGGTAGAATAATCCTGACTTTCTCTCTTGGTAATCAGCCTGGATAATACCAGTTGATAACTTGGAATAAGAGGATACCAGCCTAGATAAATGGGACTAGGATACCCATCACTGTCTTGAGTAGGAAATGAATGGAACTACAATGACACCTATTTAAAATGGCCATCAGCAAAAAAAAAAAAAAAAAAAAAAAAAAAAAAGTTAGAAAAGAAAGCAAAAGCAGTTTCAAAAACTGTGGTAGGCCAGGAGGGACCTTCATAGCACAGCAGCGCGAAAAACCTAGTCTGACACCACTAGAAACAACTTCTTAGCATCATGACTTACATTCTGTGGAGCAGTTTCCCCGCAAAACACTGCGAGACGCCTACAGTCAAGACAAATAGATGCAACAAACAGCCACAGCTCAAGTGCGGGGTGCCTTCTCCCTGGCTTGCAGCTCAGTGGATCGTGTGTAGCAGTGGATTTTGTGGAGCAGCACAAAAACATAAAGCTGGAGTACACAGATCTGCCACTGCAGATGTAAGTAAATGGGTAAGTCTGCATTGTACCTGAGTTGTGGCAACACTGGACACACCTACAGGTTGGAAGAAGTGATTGAGTGCAGCCCTGCTGAGAAGGACTTTGGTGTGATGGTTGATGCAAAACTCAACACGAACCAGCCATGAGCACTCCAAGACCAGAAAGGCAATGGGATTCTGAGTTACATCCAGAGCAGTGTGGAGAGCAGGGTGAGGGAAGGGATTCTGCCCCTCTGCTCTGATCTGGTGAGACCCTACTGAAATACTGCATCCAGCTCTGGAGTCTTTACTGTAAGAAAGGCATGGAGCTGTTGGAATAAGTCCAGAGAAGGGCCACAAAATTGGTAAGAGCAGTGGAGCACCTCCCTTATGAAGACAGGCTGAGAAAGTTGGGGCTGTTCAGCCTGGAGAAGGCTGTGGGGAAGCCTCATAGCAACCTTCCAGTATCTGAAGGGTTCTACAGGTAAGGTGGAGAGGGACTCCTTGTCAGGAACTGTAGTGATAAGACAAGGAGTAACAACCTCAAATTGAAAGAGAGGAAATTTAGGTTAGATATTAGGAAGAAAATCTTTAACTTGAGAGTGGTGAAACACTGGAACAGGCTGCCCATGTGGATGCCGCAACACTGGGAGAGTTCAAGGCATGGTTGGATAAGGCCTTGAGCAACTTGTTCTAGTGGAAGGTACACCTGCACACGGCAGTGGCAGTTGGGGCTAGATAATTTTCAAGGTCCTTTATAACCCCTTAATATTCTGTGAATCGTTCTGTGCTGTAAATTGATCCAGTATTAATCATACCTAATACTCTTGTTTATTGATGCTACTAATTCTGAATATATGTTTAGAGGAATGCCAGTTAATTACACTGTTAATAAATCAACAGACCAACTGACATGACATAACCAAAAGTGAAAGTGAGCAGTATCTTTCTGAAACTCTTTAGGCAGTTCCAACTTTACTGCCTATAAGATGTTGTATTGAGCCTCAGTTTCCAAAAGCAGCAATGCAGCAATACCGAAGATACCCTATATTATTCAAAACTTCTGAGAGAAAAAGATAAACTCAGTTTAGATTCTCATTTAACTTACAGTGCATCAACCAACTAAACCAGATAATTTTAATGTATTTGCACATATGCAATAGAATATGAAGGTTTCAGATATTTTGTTGCAAAATTCTTTAAATGTGCTACATTCACAATTTTGGTATTATTATTATTATTATTATTATTATTATTATTATTATTATTATTATTGCACTTATCTATGAAATTCATTTGAACTGGGATAAACTGGGCTGAACAATTTTCAGACATAGTTTCAGAAAAAAAATTAAATCACTTTTATCTGGTATTTTCAAATGAAGTGAAAATACTCCTTTTCAGTCTCACAAAGAGCTCAAAACCCACATGTTCTTTAAAACATCTCTCAGGCTGATTAGAATGCACAGGCTAATGAGATAATGATCACATGTGAGACTGGGAAGTACCTAAATGTTTCTTCTCTGTTTGAAAAGGCATATTTCTCTGCTGGCTTTTCAAAAAAATGTAAAACCCAAATAACATCTCTCCCTAGTTAACAACTGAAAGAAAACTGTTTCCTGCAGTCCCAGGAAATGTCTTATGTATGAGTACTTACTTTTGAAAAAAAATGACAGTGTGAAGTACTGCCAATCATCAAAGTAATAACTGCCAATCATCAAAGTAATAACCCTTTTCAATCAAGTTTTAAATAAACTCTGCATCTGCTGTGACATGACATCATTCTTGGAGTAGAAAGTAATGAAATACCAACTAATCTTTGGTAAGAGCATGCAGCTAGGCTCTTTTTGCAAGAAAAATGCAAAGTATTTTGCACAATTTACTGCTAATTGAAAAAAGGGCAAAAGCATGCACACATATAATATGCAGTGGTTTGTTTCTTCATGAGAATTAAAATATCTTTAGGTCATTGTAAAACACCTTGATTCCCAGTGCAAGTATCTCTAAATGGCAGTGTGACCAATTAACAAAAATAGCATATAATAACACTGAAGCTAATTGGCGACAAAAGCAGGATAGCTCAGTAGTCCAAATGTTTGTACATGCTCTGGTTATTTGTGCCACCTGCTTCACAATTCAACTTTGTCTTGATTGTAGAGAGCAGGTGTCTTAGACGAACATGACTGATTCTGTAAATACTCCTGTTCCTCTGAAGTATGTACCTCCTTGCAGCTATTGATCAGAGCATTCCACAAAACATGCAGTTTAATTTTCAACTTCCCTTTTCCTCAACTCTAGGAATACACTAGGGTGACATATTTAATCAGAGACACTCCTCCCAGGAGCTTATAAAGGTACTGAAAAACAGAGAAGTGTTTCATATTCTGTAATCTGAGAAGCCTGAAAATCTTGAAGTGACGCAACTGAGAACAACAACTAAGAATAAATGGCAAATACAATTTGCCTTGTTTCAATGCTTAACATGTAAGCCTTGACTCTCCACCACCACTCACCTCTACAATACACAAAAGCACAAATGGAATACTGCAATTCATGTGGAATGTGAAAGCACTACTTGTTTAAATATTTGAGTATGTACAATGCCTCTACTATAGGTGCAGCTTTATTCAGAAAAAAATTGAACTAATTTATAATCCTGTCTGCTTTGTTCACTTCATTGCTTTCTTAGCTGGTTACCTGATTAAAACAAAGATCATTTGTCCTGTTATTAAGACTCTGGGAAAATATGTTGCCAACTGACTTAGGAAGACAGACACAATTTCTTTTACTTCCCATGCCTTCTAAATGTTATATTTGTCCTTAATATCATGATGTATCTGAGAAACAGGATAAAGAGGTGCATATTGCCTCTACATTCTAAGAATGCACAATTAGACTAATACATCACAAATAAGTGCCATAAAAACAACTTTTCTTAAGACTATTACAGAATTCACTAACCTCTCTGGTTTTGGTGCAGAAAGGCTCAGCCATTGGAATATGACATACTCCTGAGAGAGTGGAATGCTGCCCATCATATAAAGTACAATGTCTTTTAGTTGTCCTAGAGAAGCAGAAAACTTGCTTAGTAAGAACAGAAAGCAAAAGCAACAAATTGATACAAATAAAAACAGACAGCATTCCTGGGAGCGGAAGTAAAAAAAACAGGATTATATTAGTGACCACCTGTAATCCTGTTCTGCCTCTGTACAAACCTTTGAGAATTGAGCTGGAGACTATAAAACTGTTACTTCACTAGTCCATTGTCAATTCATTATGAAAATCTTTTGTTAACCAAAATAGTGAAACGCTGATTTGTTCCTAAATGACACAAACAGCCCTACTGTGATGCAATTCTACTGCAAAACAACCAGCTAATTCAAAAGTCAGGCATGTAATCTCTGGAAAAACATATAAGTAAGCTTTAAGAAAGGGAATGAATAAAATCTCAACTACCACAAGACTAGTCAAAACAGCACTTGTTTGTATCACTGCATTCCTATATCCCAAAGGATAGGAATTTACAGAAACAGTTTCCAGCATGAAGGAAGTGTGAATTCAACTAGAAAACCTTGGAACAGGGTGTTCTGAGAGCTTCATTTTCTCAGAAAGATCACACACACATGCAGTGCCAGCTTCCAAGTAAAATAATCCTTTTCCTCTCTTCTTTCAATGGATGGAAATGCTCAAAGCATGTTGAAATCGCCATTCAGCATACCATTTTGGAACACATGGAACTGCTACCCACTATCACTTCACCCTTAAAAGCACTGCCTCAAGCTAATCCACCCAATTGGATGGTGTAAACCATCTGGAATAATATTCTCAGACACTCAATTCTTCCCTGCAGTGTGTCACATATTGTGCTTTACAGGAGAAAATAAAGACAGTAGCCAAATTCAATCCCCAGTTGAAATACAAAGTATCTGCTGGTAATATTTTTATAACAGTTCCCCAGTAAAGTCACTAGGAAATATTTAAAAGAAGGTCTTAAATACAATCTATATGTTAGAGTAGGTTTGAACACAAAAATGCATCAAAAAAGCATCAATAGTATGCATTAAGAATGAGAAATACTGCCCATCACCAATTCTTAAGAATGAGATTATAAAACAGGAAAGGATGGACAAATTAAAAACTTCTGGAAAATAGGATACAGCTGTTAAAATCAGCTGAAACACTGAAATTAATTCTTCCTTTATGTGATACTGAAAAGCTGCAAATAGAATATATCCAATTTTTCACACTTTTCTATTTTGTCTGCTAATTAATCATTTAGAGTTGGAGGAAATGGTAAAAGCCATAATCCATTTTCTGCATTATGGTATTCAGATGCTGTTAGCCAGGCACTTTCAATCAGAAAAGCCCAAGGAAAGATCTCATACACATAAATATTAATATCTGACTTCCAGACACTGTGTTCTTTGAAGAGAATGGCTACATCATTACATGGCCTCATGAAGAAATCCCACTATGTTTAGCATCATTCATACAAACTGCATGGGATTAAATAATAACGCTATAAACGCTTTGAGCAATAGACCACATGTGTTTGCCCTGAGATAATTTTTATTCTCCATCTGTTGTAGTTTAATCTCACCTGGAAATTAAAGCCCCTTAAGCCCCTGTACTACAGCAACAGTTACAATTTTAATCTGACAATAAGGTGGCTTTTGCTCCTTCTTTTTGGTTTTATTACAGTATCACAAGATTTTCTGGCAATTCTGACTGTGATTCGAGGAAGCAAAATACAACTCAAATGAACAAACCAGTCATTTCCATTTGTGACAAACAGCCCTCTACCACTTCTATCATCACCTTCTTCCAGTGGTGTTGAATTATCAAACTACTGGTAATTAAAAAACAAAATGTAAATTCAGACTGGCATATGCATATAAAAAGCAAGCTTAGTAAGCTCTGCATCTTCAGGGACACTGAAAGAAAATTCTATCAAAAAAATTTACAAAGTTTGACAATATTGGAGTAATTGTAGTTGGTTTTGAGACACAGAGAACTGAAACAATAAAACTGGCAGGTGTTAGAGGAAGCTAATTTCTGCATCTCCCCAGCTAAACTGAGTCATTCAAGTAAGTACTTACTATCTTGCTCTTCTCTTCCTACCAAATAAAACAGAAAGTACTCTAAAGCCCTCAATTACTCTGACGTAGTCAACTGACTAACAGTACTGCAATTTACCAACAGGAGTTAAAGGCAGAAAAAAAATCCTAGATTTTTCAAGTACCTTTTCAAAGAAGAGAACAACTTTTGCAGCCTATACTAGCAAGTGGTTATTTTTGGATTTGGAAGCAAGGAGAACACAATATATGTATTTTTATATTTCTTTAATAAAATATGTTTTTTATTGTTTAAATAAACAAAATACTAAGCATAAAGAAATCAGAGAATATATATGGAATCAAACACTAGGTATGGTAATGACCTGCAGAATTAGGCTCTCAGAAGTTTGGAAATCTTACACAGTTCTAATTACACCTATGCAATGTTTCACACTGTAAGTCAAACCTATGCTAGGCATAAGTCCTACACAACTCCTTATATTGCAATCCTGTCATTAATTTAATGGTGTGCATGCCCAAGGAGAGCAAATTACAGTAGTTGCCTACAGTTTTCTGCTCAGTTCTAGCTCTTTTCCAATTCCTATTCACTATTTCTTCTTTTTGCTTCACACTTGTAAGGAGAATTGAGAATAGGAATTCTCCCTATTGAGAATATATATGGAGAGAGCCCAGATATTAAAAGGTACCTGGACACCAGAAGGCACTGATTTTAATGGTGGCCTGAGTAAAGCTTTGCCACCTAGACCACAACTTCTTTCCTACGTACTGCCTGGCATGAGTTAATCACTATATAGAAGCCAGAATACCTTTGAAGAAAAATAACTGACTGTTTTTGCAAATTTAACCAGTACGATCTTTCCAAGACTATTAACACTGTTTGCATGACCCTGATCTTCCTTTAGAAGGTATTTCAGAACAATTCCAACTTTTCAGACTTTGGTGGACAACTAAAATATTCTGTCCCATGAAAATATCTTCCCATCAGTAGCACTGTTGGCATAGTGACTTATATAATGCAATCACTCTTAGACTGCTGTGAAGGGCTAAATGTAGACCCTGTCTCTGAAGGCATGTCAGTCTAACACTCCCTGGCATAGAACATAATGAGAAAAAGATTTGACACTGAAATTCAGCTGTCAAAAGAGACAGACTGTTACAATGTATCAGTTTTCTGAATTAAACTGCACTTTGGGGATGATTTAAAAATTCTTATTACATGTAATTTTCCACACTGAAACATTTGCACATGCTTTTCTGAGAAGCTTTTTGGTTTCCTGATGCCATTAAACAAGCATCTTCATAGTATGCTGCTGGGCTCTCTCTAGAATGCCCATGTCCAAATTGCATTGTAGAGCCCAGAACTGGATACAGCACTCCAGGTGTGGTTCACCAACGGCAAACAGAGGCTCCTGTCACCTACCCAGGAGTCTGTCAGGTGATAATGCAGTCAAAATAACTGGCGCTTGACTCACAATCATCCAAACCATGTCCCCAAGTCTGTTTAATATCTCTCCTACATAAATCAGTATCACTACTAAAAAAAAAAGAGTATTATCAGCAATATAGCTCACATTCACCCATAAATCATCTCTAGTATAACAGGAAGCATTTTATATGGGGCTCGCCCCTGCAGGGTACTTAGTTATTTAGATACACTGTACCTAAAACCTACTCTCACAAGAAAAAAAGCATTTCACTTACACATGCAAAAAAAAAAAAAGTTAATAAGTCAAAATTTGAATAGCACAGCAGTGTGGGGAACAAATCTAAGTTTACATGTTCAGGCGGCAGTGAAACACTACCAGCAGCACCACAAATGCCCAAAGAAGCTGCATAAGCCACTTTAAATACTTCAGACTATGTGGAATACTGAAATAAGACTTCAAGATGGAATACTCCTCCACGTATTAAAAGTAAATTTACCTTTAAAATGTGCAGCCAGATCTTTGAATTATTGGTGTTGCTGGTGATCTTTAAATGTAACTTTAGAAAAGTTCAAGCAAAGCTGGGGGCAAAATAGTCAGATGATCAAGGAAGATAAGACCAGCTGGTGTAGAGAGTTTGGAAACAAATTTACCTCCTTATGATTCTTAACAAATAAGATATGTAAGCATCTATTCTTGTTTTAGAACAACCTCCTCTCTTTTGCTACATTTATCTCTCTTCTGCAGGACCTCATTATTATGACATGTATTTACCTAGCTGACTTCTACTATGCTTTCTTGTACCATGCCATCTAATTTCAGATTCTTCATAAAGTTTGGAGTGGCCTGTGCTTTTATTCATGTTTCTCTCCCACATCTGAGAATGGATGATTTCTTTTGCTTCTGAACAGTCTTCCTGTGGAGCTACACTTTGGCTATTTTATGGCCATTTTTCAAAGCCTAGTACTTCTGTGTCCATTAGAATGGAACTTCTTATAATCCCATTCCCATTTCCTATCATATTTTCTTGTATGAATCTTACTTTTTGACAGAAGACTGAGGCTATCATCTTATTTTATAAAAACTTAATTTAACATGAACATGTTATTATATGGTTTAACTGGGTTTCTCCTCTTTTTCCTCCCTCTTACTTACCTGTCAATGAACTGGTCAATTATGACAAGATCACCAGGTTGTATTTCCTCTCGTAATGAACCACAGGCAGTAGTCACTAATACATGGGAACAATTTTCTTCTTTTAATGCCCAGATATTGGCACGGTAATTGACGTTTGATGGCATAATTGTATGATGCCTTCCATGCCTGCAAAGATACATGAAGCAAGACAGTAAAATAAATCAGACTGAAATTGCATTCCTTCTCCCAGGTAAGGAGAATTTCGGGAAACATATTTCTCCTAACAAAATTGGAAGTAGAACTGACCATTTCAGCTACTTCTGGTATATTTTGTTTACCTAAATATATTGAGCTTCTCCTGGCATTCAATTTAAGAAGCAGTGGTATAATTTTCTTTTCAAATGCAAAATTTTAAGTTCAAGACTGTAATGAAAATAATCTTAAAAATACAATCAAATATACATCAGAAGGCTCAAGATTCAAATAAGCATTTTTCTCTGAATCTTCTAAGTCAGCTCCATAGATTCTGAAACCCCTTTTCCAAACATTACAGGAAAGATTTATATACACCTCCACAAATTTTCTGCCCAGAAGCATTGCTTGTATTCTCCTACACAGAGCAGCACATCACAGACGTTGTGTTCTAATCTGTCATCTTTCCAAAGAAAACAGTAGAATCATCACACTTTTCTCTTTGATCTTTAAGTGATCTGACAGCGTTCATAAATTGAAAGTATGACTTCACACTGCTGCAGTATTCCTTTTCACCAAGACAGGAAATACTTGGTCTTATAAGCATGAGCTTTTGTGCTATCTCTGTCTTTGCTCAGAAGCACATCACTTACATGATTAAACACATTAGAAAATTATTTTCAACCATGTAAGAGAAAAGAAGGAACTTAATTTCTCAACTGATTTTTTTTCAGAGGTCAAAAAGCCCTAAGAATTTGATCATACAGGAACTGCACACAACATGACCAAGCACTGTCAGACAGGACTCCCATGTTGTCATTAGCATTTCTGATAATGCTAGTGGCACACAGATCTACTGCTTTATTGCAGTTGCTGTCATAATCCTCTTATAGAATATACATGCCTCTTCTTTTCCAATCTGATTCAAAAGCTGAAACACAAAGAAAAATTTGCAGGTACCTTAGCTCTAAAAGTAAACTTGCGAGGTTTCTATATGAATAGTCATAAATGCCAGGGAGAAGATAAACCACAGCCAAGTTGTTCAGACATCTGTAGTCCAAAGAAACAGTAGTTTGAAACAGTACAGCTATGAGAACTTGACTTAGTAGTTCATTTTAGAAAATGAGAAAAATGTTATCCATTTTAGAAATGAGAAAAATGTGTAATAAAATACATGAGCAAAGTCCATGAAAGATAAGAAAAGTAAAACCACAGACAAAAGTGTAGTTGCAGAGATGGTAAGATAAGAAAAGTAAAACCACAGACAAAAGTGTAGTTGCAGAGATGGTTAGCAGTTAGCAGCTTCAATGGAAAAACAATGGAATAAAAAGAATCAGGGCCTGGAGTGCACCACTGGGTCCTAAGTGCCCTGACCAGTCTCAGCCTGAGCCTCCACAGAAACTCCTGATGCCTGTGAGTCTGGATGCTCCTGCCTCCAAGATCAGGACCCAGTCTTCACCCCTGGCCTGAGCTATATCCCAGTGTGCCAGTCCACAGCCCGGTCTCCCCCACAGCCTTCAGACCTATGCTGTAGCTTGTCTCCAGAGCGAGATGGGCTTTAGACACATGCTACATCTTCATATCTCACCTCCTAAGGTTCCTGCCTGGATTCCCTGGATGGATCCTGGGCTTGACTAATTACCTTGACTTGGCCTGCTGAGAGGCCCTGTCATCAGCACCTGCTCTGTCCATTCTGCCCAGGTGCCACAAATTGTGTTAATAGTCTTACATTTAATCCAGTAGCATGTTGGTCCTAGACATCCATGGTTACACCAGTGTGAAATTTCCACACATTCATCTGCAGATCCTACTTCCAGAGTCTCTTCAAGTATAGTAAAAATGTCTGAATAAAAATTACATAGGGAGGGAGAACTGTAGGGAATGCAGCCCCCTAAACAATAATTGTAACAACAAGAGGACTCAATAATCTAAGGGAATGATTTGGAGGAGTTTACAGAGGTAACAGAGACATAGTTCATTAATTAGTAAGGTCATCAGCATCACCTACCCACCATCACAGCAGGTGGCCTTGCAGCCTGCCATTCTCACTAGGGCAATACCTCCCACTAGACTTTTTTACCTAACCTAGACAGCATTTTCAATACTCTCAGTCCTTGCAGCATCAAACTTGCTTTTGAAAAAACCCAAACGTGTGCTGGACTTTGCTAGCAACCACAGAGAGCAAGATGATGTCAGAGCAGAAATTCAGTTCACCAAATGAAAAGAGAAAAAATTCTGAGAAGACTTTAAGATGTATAATACAAACCCCTTTAAAACGCTCATTTACCTTGCCAAGAGCACACAGTCCACATTTTTGATCTTTCCCAAAATCAGAGCATCTGATGGCTGCAACACAAGCACATAAGAATGAGTGACTGTTTGACAATCACATTATAAACCTTTACTACGACCTAAAAATAACTGCAACAGTTACAGAAGAAAATACTGGTTGCAATTGTACTCTCACATTTTCTTGAGCTCAGCTGTGTAATTTGATATGACGAGTTAGTAAAACAGCCTGGAACAGGAAGATCAAACTTGGAACAGGAAGGATTACCATAAATTTTCTGTGTTCATACAAAACTTAACATTGCAACTCTTTACTTTGGGGTTTGAAATTGTAATGCCTTCTAATACATCAAACACAAAAATAGTAGCATGCACATGTTACCATCAAATTGGTTAGCATGATTCACTCTTTCCTGTAAACTTCAGCTTCTTTTTGCTAAATAGCTGCCATTCTCTACTAAATCCCTCTTCCAGCATAAAACCCATTTAATCCGTGCTTTTCCATAACACTCGCCATTCTCTTCTCTGTCCCCTTTCTAACTTGGGCTTGCAGTAGGGTGTGAATAGTTCTGGATTCCTCCAACCCATCCCACACTCAACCCTAGCTTCCTGAAAAACTCCCTCTTCCCTGTTGCTGGGAGTCCTGCTTTTGGGAAATGAAATGTGATACAACAGAGAAATTCCGGTATGTAAGTGGCGGAAGCAGTGTTGTACTTGCTCAGCCCAGGGACTTCTCTTACAGCTACACAAGAAAATACAATCTTCCTGGCTACCAACCAGCCAGGACAACAGAGCATATTGATTTTAGCTGTCCAGCTGGAATGTGTACCTTGCCATGGAGACGGGTCATCCTGCCCATGAGAGGCAGCCTCCAAGTCATCAACCACCATTACAATAAATTAACTGTTCTGTGGGCTGTGTTCTGCTCCTGGCCTTCAGGATCTGAAATATACTACACTGTAACTTTCCTTTTTGTTAAAACAGCTACTAACAAAACCATGGTTTATTTACTGATCACAAGTTTGCAAGTGTCTTGACTCACACATTTGCACTTAGAAATGTTCTGCTGCCAGCTACTTGACAGAAAAGAAATAAAATTATAATGCTAGATGCAAGATTTCAATTAGCATTTATTTTACAGCTGTTGATTTTATTATGTAGTTGAAATTTTGCAGAGGTTGACAATGAAGTGATATGGGAACCCCATGTTAACGATACCCATTTCTTAAAAAAAAAATAAATCACCTTCTACTTCCTATTGCACTGCTCATTTTGGCAATTATTCATTTGAAAGCCCTCTAAAGCACCATAACTTACTCAATCACCAAGGCTGAAATTCTGGCAGACACTTACTATTTCTTTGTAAAAAATGGGAACATTCCAGAACATTTATGTTTAAAACAGTTGTTATTCTGTCTTTTTTTTTTTCAAGTATCAATTTAATATTAAACTATTGATATTTAAATCTTTAATCTTTACCTTACGCTCTTCTCAAACAAACATGGCTTTAAGAGTGAAATTTCACATAGGGCAAAAGCCTTGCTGTCTAGTGGCCACAGCAACTTGCCATTGCAACACTCATAACAAGGAAGCTTCACAAAAATTAGCATTTGGGATTTTGTTTTGTTTGCACACATTTGCTGTGTTAAATAATAAGCAGTTATTAAAACTGGGGACTTAAGTCCCCAAAAGAATACAAAAATACTCTTAAAACTAAAGAGGATTTCCAGTAAAAGTTCCTGCCCCATATCAAAAAGGTCAGCAAATTAAAGACTGAGCTTTTTGCTTTATAAGTTACAGATTCAAGTTTGTTCCAAGAGGTAGATTTAAGTTTATGCCCATTTTCAAAAGACTTGGGGTAGTTTGATATTAATTCCCATCACAGAAGTCCACTGAATTTTGGTATACATTGATGATGCAGAAAGAACATAACAGATTTGAAATTCACAGGCTTCAAAATCTAGTTGCTGCAGCCAGGGTTTCCTTCCCTATCTGCTCATATCCCAGCACTTCAACAGGCTTCAGGATGGTAAGAATCTGGCTGACACCTTTGCACTGATTTCCACAAAATGCATTCTGCACATTTTCCATGTGATATACTGAATCTTTTTGGCACATGATTTCTAGAAAACTGGAAGAGAAAAAGAAACACTTGAAACAGAGAGCACTGCTAAATGATGAGTGGATAGCATAAGAAAACAATTGTAGATACTGTGTCATGCTTCATTAAAAGACATTAAATAAAGATCACACAGTCACAGAATTGTTAGGGTTGGAAAAGACCTGTGGAGATCTGCTAGTCCAGCCTCCTGCCAAGGCAGGCTTGCCTAGAGCAGGCTACACAGCGACACATCCAGGTGGGGGTTTGAGTGCCCATAGCAAGGGAGGCTCCATGACCTCATTGAGCAGCCTGTTCCAGTGCTCTGCCATCCTCAATGTAAAGAAATTCTTCCTCATATTGTTCTTCATGTTAGTTTATGGCCAGTACTGCTTATCCTGTCACTGAGCACCACTGAAAAGAGTCTGGTACATCTGCTGGGCACACACTGTTAAAGTATTTATATGTACTGACAAGATCCCCTCTCAGTCTTCTCTTTTCTGGACTAAGAAGGTCCAGCTTCCACAGTCTCTCCTTGTAAGAGAGATGCTCCAGACCCTGAATGCAGACCCTGAACCACCTCTATGGCTCTGCCAGACCCTTTCCAGTAACTCCTTGTCTTTCTTGTACTGAGAAGCCCAGAACTCAACATAGCACTCCAGATGTAGCCTCACTAGAGCCAGGGAGAGGGGAAATCACAGCCCTTGACCTGCTGGCCACACTCTAGCTGCTGAACCCCAGGACAGCACTGGCCCTCCTGACTGCAAGGGTGAACTTGTCATCCAGCACCCCAGGTTCTTCTCCACAGAGCTGCTTTTCAGGAGGTCAGCCTCCAGCTGTGCTGGTACTTGGGGTTATTCCCACCCCAGATGGGAATTCAACCCTAGGTGGAGGATTCTAAACTTGCCCTTGTTAAATCCCATTAGGTTTCTCTATGCCCAGTTCTCCAGACTAAGGTCCCTCGAGTGGCAGAAAAGCCCCCGAGTGTGTCAACCACTCCCCCCAGTTTTGTGTCATCTGCAAACTGGCTCAGGGTTCATTCTATCCCTTCATCCAGGTTGCTCATAAAGAGATTGAATAGCCGGAACAACTACTGATATGTGCATAAAGTCATAGAAACAGACATTTCAAACTATGTGTTGACCAGGTAACATAGCTAATGTATACTTCCATTCTGCTTTCTTTCTCCCACTACCTCTTTCCAAGTGCTGTATCTCTCTGCTATTATCTCAGTCATAGCCAGGAGTAATGATAAAATAATAAAAACTTTCAATGGAACAGTTTGAAGTCAAAGCTCTAATACTGTATTTTAAAAGGATAATTTAATAAAAGGTCCAATAAAAATCTCAAACATTAAAATTTCATAAATGTCTTTAATTACTTCTGTCTTTTCACAAAATACAAGTCAGATATATATTACTCACTGCTGCAAAACAGAAAATAAATAATCTTTTATTTCTGAGCAATTAACCCCAAATTATTACAATAACAAACAATTGGAATAAATCCCCTTTGCCTATAATGTAAATATGCATAAAGTACCATTCATGTAGTGTCTACAGAATTCATTTTTCCCTTGATCTCACCTCAGAGGCTAGTTGGAACAGAAAATAGAATGAATACAGAACACTCATGATGAAAAAGTACTTCAGAGGTTCTGCAAGCCTCCATTCAATCTGTAAGTTAGTTCAGGAACCAAACAATGTACATTCTTTTGAGGAGGTAAAAGATGAGCTTATGTATTATGTTACATGGTCAGGTTTTCCTGATGCATCATGTTTTCCTGATGGAAGCAAAAATCGCTAAATTGAAAGGTGGAACTACCCCCCTGCTTTGTTTGCCTGATATATTTATGACCAGAAAAAAACACAGAGGCACTAGAATAATTTTCTAGAGTGGGAAGATAGCTCGCCCACCAGAGGTGGTGATTCAGAATCATGATCCGTCATACAGAAAGGAAGATAATCTAACTGAAAATATATTCTGAAAAAAGCTTTTTAGGAGCTTCAAAATTCAATGATAAAGATAAAATTGCTTGGAACAGCATCTATTATCCTGTAGGAGACTAAGATTTTCCATATCTGAAGATAGTATATCAAATTTGGGACATTTCCCACAGAATACCAAATTTTTGATGTACTGAAAATGTTGGAAGACAAGGAGAAAAGACAGCTGGAATATTAAGAGCTGTAAGCTTACTCAATTTTTTTAAAAGCTATTGTTCTGCATTTTCACTATTACTAATGTAACTTGATTTATCATAGAGGACCAATACCAACATAGAAAACAGCAAAAAATTGTCACAATAGTTTCCTTTAAACTTTTCATTTTTCCCACATTCCCTAGTGCTACTATTCAAGAAGGCCAAAGCAGAAGACAATTAAAGGTCTCTGTATGAAAAAAAAGTAAGCCATTATTTCATCTTTTAAAAGAAAAGAAAAAGCATTTTTCATTAGAGAAAAATCTATTTTGCTGCTGTCAAAGGTCCCAAGGAAAATCTACTCCAGAAAGCTTTTCTCAAACATCTTTTGGCAGAAGTCTCCTTGTCTAGAAACTTAAGAATTAAAGATTTAAGCAAAGTGGAATTGTACCCTCTGCATTTTTACATGACAGAAGGAAATGGACATCCATTCTAGTAACTATGCCTTGCAATTTCCTTTTGACATTCATTCATTCATTCTATTCTTCCTAGTTTTGCTTGAACTAAATAGGTTCATGATTCACCTCTGTTTCTCTCAGAAAACCAAAGACCACAAATTTCCAAAATTTATTTAAATTAAGCCCTTTACTTCTCGAAATGTCAGGCAGATTATCTCTCCACTGTCCTAACAGCTCTATGAAAAAGTATCTTTATGGCAGAAAAGTCCCAATTTGGTTTTATTCCAGTAACAATCAAGAACAAAACATATCTTTAGGGAAAAATAGTAACAAACCATAAACTTCTAAACTTTTCCAGGCACACTTAAATAAAAATAAAACTGCCCTCTTGCATTCAGCTGTTCCTCTCATCTATGTAGCTCTAAAATGTGTGGTAGGTTGTGTAACGTCTCCTTCCTGAATACTAAATAGTCTCAGCAGCAAAGTAAGTGAATATTGATCCACCTAATAATACTAATTGAACTTGAGGCTTTGTTCTGCTTCAATCAAAATCCATTGTACTTTGTGTGACTGCAATTTGTGGACTAAACGCTGCACATCTCACACTAAGGCTAATCCATCAGCTGCTGAACTGGAAACTGCATTCACTCCCTGAAGTTATTGTGATTCTATACAGGAGGAAATCTACATGAAACAACAATCAGGTCAATGGCCTGATTATCAGAAGTTCAGATCTACAGAGAGAAAGAAGGAAGACGGGCCATTACAGGTAAAAGGATAAAAGCCCCCTGTTTGGCTGTGCTGTCCTTCTTTGACTGACCTGATTCCATTCAGGTCAGCTAAACAGTCCCAGTTCAACTCAGGACATTATCTTGAATTCAGGCTTGGATTCATACCCTGGTATCTCCGTTCTGTTCTCATCCCCCTCACACAAAGAAAAAATATTCATGAGCTCTTTTTTTTTAAGTTCAGTCTGTGCTAAATGTGTAACATGCAGGCTCAGACACAGGCAGTCCATTGATCAAGGTCTCTCACTATCCACAACAGGCACCAACATTAATTTTCTGCTATTTATGTTGCACTCTGTGAAGAACACAAAACAAAAACCCCACTAGATAAGCAAAAAAAAAAACCAAACAAACAAACAAACAAAAAAAACCCCAAAAAAAACCCCAAAAAAAACCCCAACAAAAAAGGTAAAAAAGCCTTCCATACTTGTCGGACTCCAGGACATCCCTCTGGCTGCTCTGGGTGTCTCGAGACCCTGGAAGGGGACTCGGAGACCTTGGCAAGAAGTCAAAAACAGCTGTGGCTTCAATTTTAACACATGGAAAAACTGCCAACTTTGTATGAGGAATTACAAGCCACAAGGGTTTGAATAGCGGGATATTTGAATTAATACAGGGTGGAAAAGTAGAAATTTGGGGTTTTTAGAATATAATTCAGGGGGTTAAGATGGAAGAATTTAGGCATGTCCCAGACTTCTTCTTCGTCTTGTCCTGTCTTGATGTGATGGTGACACTTTTCTATTGGCTTAAGGTAGAGACACACTGACCAACATAGATGTTAGGTATCGGTATGGAATTGTAAACATATTACACATACTTTTGAGTATACAATGTGGGAGCCGCCTGAGGCTCGAACCAAACTACCATGGCTTCCTTTCTGGACGGACCTCAGCAGGTCAGAGAAAGAATGTTATAGATAAGGGAAAATAAACAACCTTGAAAACGCAATTGGATGTATTCCAGACTCCTTCTTTGGCTGCAATGGGCTAGGGAAAGGACTTCCACACTGTTGGGGTCCTGACAAGCTGACCCTGACATATACTGACCTAAGATGCATGGCTGATGAAGATTATTTCACTCCTTTGTGCAGGAGCCATCCTGAAAATATTCCTACTCTTCCCAGGAATACTGAATCCTAATGTAGGCCACTTACTGCACTGCAGAATTTGCATTCCCCAATTCCTGTGGCACCTCAATGCTGTGACAGAACAGACCTTCAAATGCTGCGCTGCCACTGTGCCCTCAACTCTGATCTGAACAGAATCCTCTGAGGGAGAAGTGTTCCATCTGTCCTAGATAGGAAAGCTTCAGTTAATATCTGCAGCAAGTACAGTATTACTTCTGCTTTGTCAGCAGTCTCCAAACACATCCATGCTGTGATGAACATCCGTTCATCATTCTCAAGAAACAGGGAATACAATGGCAACTGGTTTGGTTTAGCCAGTGGATTCTCCTTCAAACCAAAGCTCGCTACTTTTGCAAACCACAGCATAGAAAACAGAGGAGGTGAGTTCCCTTCATTCTATTACAATTTTTTAACTAATTCTGAAAGAGGATGGAAAAGTCAAATGCATTCTTCTGATTATGTTTCACTTCCTTTAATATACTTCTCCTTCCTAATGGTGTGGATACAAACTCCTCTTGCTCTTTAAACCATTTTTGAATGGAGGCATGGATTCGGCTTTCAATCACACACCACACCACTGAGTTTTCTAGCAAGCTTCCAGTCACAAAATAGCACTTGCTACCAGATACCAGATTTTTTTGTATGCATACCAGCATGTACTGGTAGACTGCGTAAGATATAATTCTAATGGCAATTATGAAGCACCCAGACTCTCCATGTCCTATGACATGAATACCTAAGATCCAATTCTTCTATGAGCTTCGTGTGACAAATAAAACATCACTCCTCCTTGACTTCCTGCCTATAAAACTCTCTCATCCTTTTTCTTGTCTGTTTGTACTATGAACGCTTTGTGCCAGGAATTATCCTTCAAAACGCACCCAGCACTGTGTATAGAGCAGCAGCCTTAGCCAGCATTCCCTTCTGCTAAGGAAAAGGACAGAAGCAATGTAAAGAAGAATTGTTTAGGTGTATCAGTCTCACAAACACAGTTTCAGAGCTTAATTTTTAAATAGTTTTCAAATTATGTTGCTATAAGCATGATCTTAAATTGGCATGTAAAACATAAATCATTAGTTACAGGGAAAATGGTATTTCATATGCCTCAAAGGAGAATTGTCTGCAATTCAGAAAGGTGACAGATAACACAGTTGATGCACCAGTACAAATTTGAAAGAGAGGGTTTATTCCTTGATTGTAAATTCAGCAGTGAGTTTCTAAATTCATCCAATCTACAATGAGAAGAGGTATAGTCTCCTTTGCACATCATCTTTGCAATAATACTTTATTTTTACAAACTAAGAATCACACAATACATAGCTACTAAGAACAGTTGTGCAAGCACCTCCTTTATACATTCATTTACCAGTCTGAAAATTCTTAAAGCATATAAACATCTTAAAAATTCGCAAAAACTTTCAGTAATAATGAAAAAGATTATACAGACCTTGCCATAAGGAGTGTCAACATACTTTTCTGTTCTTCCTTCTAAGATATCTGGATCATCCAGGCCAGTTCCACCGATAATTCCAATCTTACAAAGAAAGTACATATTAGTCTTCCTGCAATTCACATTTAACAGCATGCTTAAAACCTAACCAGGCAGTTAGAAAATGTATCTTTTCTCAAGATGAGGATAGACAACAGATCATCAAATTCTAGTGTGCCCACCACAATTTTCCAGAATGAAAATTTCAAATATCTGATTTTAAACAACTGTATTTAGTGTGCCATTTTCTTACGAATGATTCTCCTTTTTAAGATACCAAATTAAAAAAAAAAAAAAAAAAGCTATGAAAAAAATGCACAAAGATGTGCCATTAAACATTTATTTCCAGTATAAATATTAAGACTATTTGGGAATGCCTGTAATGAGTGAGAAATACATGTAGAAAGCCCATTAAAACAGAGGCTTTTTGTTTATCTAGACAAAAAGTCTTACATATAACCACCATACTGAATATCAGGCTGCCGTGGTTTTAAGCCCAGCTGGAAGTTAAGCCACTTGCAGAAACTCCATTTCTTTCCTCCTACACTCTGGTGGAATGGGGAGTGGAATCCAAGTAAAACTTGCATATTGATATAAAAAAAGCTTAACAACTGAAAATAAAGTAAAACATTATAATAAGGGTAAATTATAGCAATAATAATAAAAAAGGGAAAAACTAGCGATGCATAATACAATTTCTCTGCACCCATTGACTAATGTCAGACCCCATTCCCAAATGCAGAATGGCCACTCTCTGGGTAACTCCCTCTGTTTATATAATGGGTATGGCATTCCATGGTGTGGAATGTCCCTTCAATCAGTTTAGGTCACCTGTCCCAGCTATGCTCCCTCCCAGTTTTGCTTGCATATCCCCTCCACTCTCTCCCTGGCACAGCATGAGACAGGGAAAAAAGAAGTCCTTGATTTAGGATTAATATGACTCAGCAAACCCCAAAACATCAGTGTGTTATCAATACCATTCTCATTCTGAATCCAAAACACAGCACTGGAACAGCTATTGAGGGGAAATTAACATTACTACAGCCATAACCAGGACACAGGCATTTGTATATGGTATTATAGCTCCAAAAGAAAGAAAACTTTGTGGGAAAAAATTAGTCTTTTGTGCTGATTCAACAAAATCTAAGAGGTTTCCCAACTAAAATCCCTGTTGTGTTTTGATTTACCTATGATTGCATATTCCAGCTAAGAAAAATGCATCTAATTATTCTTATTTCTAGTTCATAGTTGAAAAGTAACTTGGTTTTTGTCTCTCTAGGGATAATTAGATCTTCAATCAAGTCAAGATTTTTCTTGAGTTCAGAACACTTGTTACTCTTCGAGCAGAATTATTATTGTCAAGCTTTTCACAACTGAAAGCTTAGCAATGGTACTTAAAAGAGATGTTGAAATAGAGATTTTTGAAGTTCACTTGAGTTAACAAAATGAATTAAACATTTAAATTTTAGTTTGTAGAATTATGTGTTGAATTTTAACCTTTTACTTAAGAAACCTCTGCCATGGTACATAGGGCATAGGAAAATGCAAATTTCTGAAGCATTTTGCATAAAGAATAATACCGGAGGATACCAAAAGATGCAAAGAACACAGATAAAGAGGCTCCTCTGTCTCCAAGCTTATCAAGACTGACAGATGGATTCAGATGACCAAGACGTGCAAAGGGGAGAAGTTCAAAAGTTCAGTCATGAGGAAGACCACGATCTTCAGCCCCAGAGACCACCGAGAGACCCCCATATGACCACCACAGCAAACCAAGCGTGCCCAGAAGGGCGTGGACCTATTTAGCATGAGAGGTGAGGACAGGCGGGGCCAGGGCTTGAACATGCATGAAAAGGTTGTGTAATGTACTGCATATGGAACACCTTTCTCAATAAAGGTGGGCGTCAGACTGAAGCTCGGGCCACAAGTTTTTGGAAAGCTATCTCACTTGTGCCGAGCGCTGACAATACATACCCACTTCGTAACTACATCAGGTTGTGGAGTAGATTTATTCTGCGTATCGCTTCAATGTCACCATTTATCACACATAGAGAAAATGAGTGCTTCTCTTTTGTGATTCAAACTGATTCAATGTGATCAGTTGTTACAAAATTCGTATCACTTTCAAGCTGACTACATATCATGACTGATTTGCCTCAAAATCAACCTTTCTGACATAACTTATTACCACAAAAACTTCTTAAGTAAAACCTCCAGACTTGAACATACAACACACTCCTTCCACAAGAGAGAGCCACCTCTTACTCCAGTTTTTTCTTAGTTTCACATTTGTAGAGACACCATCTGTTCAACCACTGTATTAACTGGCTCATTAAGCACTTCTTTTCAACAAGCAGAGGCTCCGTGGTCTTGGTTACATATAAGCACCTCTCTGACAAAGCTTTCCACTTGGTAAATGCTGTACATGAGATGGTTTTAACCGACCTCCTACTTCCTTTTTCTACCCCCCTATGGAGCATGAGAAGCGCAAAGGAAAACAGCAGTGCTAACCCACATGCTCTGACCCTGAATACACACACAAGCTTTAGGGAAGACCTAGTCCATTGTTTGCAGTAATATTGATGGGTTTGTTCCTGTGTTACTCCTTACTTAGCTATCACAAAGGTTCTGACTTTGATTGCTCATGAAAATCCTGAAAACTACTATACACTTTAGGATGAATTAAGGATAAATTGCCTTAAGAATTGTGAAAGGTATGCAACAGGAACAACCACAAAACTCAAAATCAAGAAAATACTATGTTTAACACTGTTCATGCATATATTCAGTAAACACAGATGATTGCTATATTGCCAGAGGACAGGACCAAAATTGTGCCTTTTTAATTTTTTTTCAGTCTAGGGAAAAAAAAAAAAAGGTTCCTTCAGCTACTTTATTGGTTTTAGCTGGGTATAACACTTGTTTTACTAGTGTCCTATGACTTAGGATTCAAAAGGGAACTGAACTTTTACATCTAGCAAAATGCAAGTTGTTGGGACTGAGAATGCTGGAGAGAGCAGCTACAGATGCATGACATAAAAGCTATTTTGGAACTACAGCACTTTAAGGTTATTATAAACACACAGATCCATCACAGTAACAGACTGCTCCTGTACAGAAAGCAGCATGCCTGGCCTGCAGCAGCATAGGCCTAGTGTGGTTGCTCTCAAATTTGTTCTCAGGCTCAGTAATGCAGGGGGCTGCAGCGGCATCAATACATACTTTGGCTGCACTGTTCAGTTCCTGCGTAGGCTTTTACACCAATAGCCATGCTGTCAGAAATTGCAGACTGTAATGAGCCTGCAAAATATTCACAGCTCCCATGGTGCAGAACCCAAAGCACAGAAGACCTAGACTATGGTGTGTTTATTCTGCTTTCTTACCCACTGCAAGCTTACCACAGTGGCAGTCTGGACAACCCTCATGCCACCTGAGGTAACACTGGCTAGAGAAATACTGGGCTCACTTATAATTCACTGGAGAGTTACTTTAGTGGAAGGAAAGTTAGGCAGCAGAGATTTTTGAAGCAGCTGCTGCTCTAATCATGTAAGGTCAATTTGGAGCTGGCAGCTCTAATCCTAAAATTCTACTTGACAATTATTTTTCCTTCAGTTTACATGACCTCCAGAAATACTATTTGTGTCTGGGAACAAGACAGAAAAATCTGAGTCGATACTAAATTCTGCTTTCCAAGCCTTCTAGTGAATTATCAAAATAAATGCAAATGCTCTAGGCTCAGTGGGAGAGATACCCTATGTCATGGCTCTGGCCAGGATAGGATTAATTTTTGCAGTAGTCTGGAAGGGCCTTGACTAGGACCTGGAGGTTATTCTACATGACTTTGTATCATTTTCCAGTAACAGAGAAAGGGGCCCCAGGTGAGTGTAGCATGACAACTGGGTATTTTTGTGCTCTGCATAGTGGTGAGCAGTTGCATATTAGCTGTTCATCTCTTTCTTTTTATACAGTTGTTGTTACTGTTTGTTTTCTTATTTAGTTTCCAGTAAATTGTTCTTATCTCAACCCATGATCTTCACCTTTTGTGCCTCCAACTCTCCTCTCATTCTGCTGCAGGGGTTGGGATGATGTGTGGTTTGGAGTGGTTTCAGTGGGAATAGTAAATTGGAGAGCATCATGTCTAAACCACAACACCCCTGTCAGGGGCACTGCCTTCTATTCCTAGCTACGACCTGTCGGAGTCCAGGACATCCCTCTGGCTGCCCTGGCTGTCTCAAGACCCTGGCAGGAGGCTTGGAGACCCTGACATGAAGTCAAAAATATCTGTGACTTTGATTTTAGCCTGTGGAAAAAGCTGTCAATTTTGTATGAGGAATTACAAGCCACAAGGGTTTGAGTAGTGTGATATTTGAATTAACACAGGGTAGAAAAGTAGAATTTTGGGATTTTTAGAATGAGGTTCAAGGGGATACAAGATGGAGGAATTTGGGCATGTCCTAGACTTCTTTCCCTTTTTGTCCTCCATGTCTTGGTGTGATGGTGACACTTTTCTATTGGTTTAAGGCAGAGATTCACAGTCTAACGTAGATGACAGGAATTGGTAAAGAAATTGTAAACATAGACACGTAGTTTTGAGTATATAAGGTGGGAGCCCCCCAAGGCTCGAGGTTAGATGGCCATGGCCTCCGTGCTAACCAGAGGTTGGCAGGTCAGATAGGTTAGATAAGAAGAAACAACTTTTAAAACTCAATTTCAAGCATTCCAGACCTCTTTTTCAGCTGCTGGGCTAAGGGAACAAGGACTTTCACACTGTTGGGGTCTCACCAACTGACGCTGACAGCCAACCCAGGAACTGAACATATGGGAAGGCAGAGAGGATGTGACCAAGGAAGGACAAGTTTCACCTTTCCTCAAAAGCCAGAGAACTGACCTCACACCTAGGAATGACTTCAGAATGGAAATATGTAAGACTGTATTCTTCATTCCAGACTGCATCCTACAAAGGGACACAAAGGATATAACTTGCAAAATTTAATGGAGCCTGTATCAAAGGTTATCTGGAATTAAATCTCAAGTAAAATGGCATTACAATAGAGTGAATCTCAAACAGTGGGATGAAGAGCAACAGAAGTGAAACCTAACAAAAAGTTATCACATCAGTAACTTCAAAAATCAAACCCATTTCCCTGTCAAAGTTCAAGTAGAAATCACACTGAAGTGTATGCCTTTCTTCATGTGGTGTTTGGTGAACTTCTCTAAGGTTTAAGCCAAAGGCATAGAGGTACCAGTGCAGTAACAGCCTACATTTGTT